GTACTGGCCGGTTAGTCATCACACCCGAAGACGAACAAGCAGCTGGGTCTCTTCCTCGACCGAACTTTAGCAATGCTTCCGTGGTCACTTATCCTGGATCAAATGGAAATAAGTGGTGGGACTGTGCTCAACTCATCGAACAAGTCAAAACACGAGCTCTTCCAATTTTCGATTACCTGTTCCCTGACAAGCAGGGAGTTTTTATATTCGATTGTTCATCTGCACATGCGTCTTATGGTCCTTCAGCTCTTTGGGTCTCTCATATGAACTTCGGTCCTGGTGGAAAGCAAGCTTCATTACGCAATACAATCATTCCATCCGATGATCCCAGAATTCCAGCCGAGCTTCAAGGCCAACCACAGTCCATGGTTTATGCTCAAGATCATCCAACACTTGCTGGAAAAAATAAAGGTGTGCAATGTGTACTTGAGGAGCGAGGCCTGTGGAAATGGTATCTACTGAGATCGAAAGAAATTAATCAGAAGCCTGTTTTTCAATGTTCAACCTGTCGGATGTCAGCAATCAAACGTGATCAAATTCTTTGTGAAGATCGATTACGCCGCGAGGAGGAAGCCAAAGAGGCGTACGAAAATGGTGGACAGATAATTCCTCAAGATCTTGATCAGGATGATCCAGCGTGTTGTGCTTCCATGATCCTCAGCCTGCAGTCTGACTTCACAAATGAAAAGCCCTTGCTTCAGACCGTCATAGAAGACGCTGGTCATTTATGCCTTTTTCTTCCAAAATTCCACTGTGAGCTTAATCCGATTGAGATCTATTGGTCGTACATAAAACATAGTAAGTTATCATATTTATTTCCCTCTCTCTCTGAGTTTTCATTTGCTGACTATCTTTTGTTATCAGATTATCGAAAGAGTAGCTATCTTTGTAAGTCTTTCAAAGACTCAAAGGCACTCTTTGAAAAGGTCCGACAGTCTTGTCCAGTCACGCCAATTCGAAAATATTTTAGAAAGATCGATCGTCAAATGGACGTGTATCGGTAAGTTTTTGTTTCATTTGTTCAATCCTTTGTTTACATCAATACTTACGCTTCGTTTGTATCATAGCCAAGGCTTCACAGGCACTCAAGCCAACCAGTTGGCCAACGACAAACGATATTCATCTCATTGATGTGTACCTCGAAGGGCTGCAATGACTTTAGAGTTCATGTGTCAGCCCAATCATCAAAACACACAGAACTTATGATTCCTTTTCTTTTTGTCATTATCTCTGATTGCGTTATGTAGTACGAAATGAACCAAATTGATATCATGCTGAACTAAATACATGTTTTCTTTTTTCTGGTTTATCTGTGATGTGTTGTGTTCTGATTAATATCATACACGAAGAAATATACATGTTTTCTTTTCATACAACTTTCCTTTCTGATTGTTTTGTTTGATTTATGTTTGATGCATTGTGAACTGATTGATAAAAATATACACGATTCTTGACCAACAGGGCTCAGCTTGAGCGCTCAAGATGAGCCAAATTGGGGCCCCCTAGACCCATAACTATGCCCTAAACCCATATTATAAACCCATATGTATGCCCTAAACCCATGCCTTAAACCCATAAGTACACTATAAACCCATATGTCCGAAATCCATGGGAAAAAAAATATTTTTTTAAAAAAAAAAAACCGCTGGCCACATTGACTCAAAAAGTCATTCACGGCACAAGCCACCTTCTACACCACGGGTCAACTTCTTGACAGGCTCGATATCGGAGGCCAGATGATTAGCCTCCGCTGACAGCCAGCCAACAGAGCTCACAGTGCCCGTTGAATGCGACCTTGACATCGAGGTCACAGCAAGATACACAATTTAACTCGTAATTCAACTATTTCCATCCAATATCCATGTTCAGCGGGGTGGCTGGGTACAATGGCTTATACAGTTACACTCAGCCTTTGACTTGGTTGCTGAGAGTATGAAGGTTCAGGAGCTTATACGGTACCAGCTTCAAATCGTCGTAAGGATCTAATGTGGGAAGCAATCTTCACCACTTTCTCTTATTTCTTTTTTTATTGCAGTCTTTATTTTTTTATTTTTTCTTGAAGCCTTTGCATCTTAGTTTATCGGTTGCTTCTCTATGCAGATCCGAGTTTTAAGACTTTCATTGCAAAGGCAATTCTCAACGTGAATGATCATCATTAAATTGAATCAATGTAGCGTCAGACAGGATTGAACAAAAACAACAAAGATGACTCGATCTAGAAGAAGCAAATCATTACAATCAAGATGAATGAGATGTGGAGAATCAAATTAAGCAATATCAAATAAAAAAGAAAAGCAAAGAATTGCTGAATCGAATCGGATCAATCAAGTAGGACAATCGAAAATTGAAGCAACCAATAATCTAAATCTAGAAACAAGAGTAAACTCAACAAAGTCCCATGCCGCGTCTTGCACGCTTCGAGCGCAGCAAGGGACTTACGACAACGAGGCACGCTTTTGCCTGTGAGGTTTTTTGATTTTGGCTGGTGAAATCTTCACTCCTTATAAAACTTTTTTGCCCATTTGTGAAAAATCTTGGCCAAAGAAACTTTTTGTTCGCCTTCCTGAGGCGGTTCGATCTATCCAATAAAAATCCGAGGAACTCGAGGCATTCTCCCTCCATATGCTCTGAAAGTTTCATGATTTTGTCGAAATGAAACTTTTGTTACCTGTAACTTTTACACATGATTGCTGCGAGGTATTTAGTATTTACACACTTGGCTTTATCCCAACCTGTAATCTATGGTCATACGGTCATAACTTAACTGATCGACTTGATCACTTGTGCTGAGCAAATTGTGCATGCAACCCAACCAGCTTGAAACATTCCATTTGCCTCAAATACTCTCATCTCTTGTGATTGTATTCACGGGCAGGCAGTATTTTTTCCTCATAACGTTTGCAACTCAAGCTGTAACATCTCATGTCCAGTCGGTGTGTATTTAAACGCGATGAACAAGGAAATACGCGGTGGTTCCTTCCTACTACATTGTAATATGACGTATTGGTTGGGTCTATCAATACTCGTATATTGATAGACTCACTTGTTCCGTGTACACTCTATATTATTTTCCTTCTACTGCCTTACCAAACTCACAGATCCAACTCGTTATTTAAATTTTATGATCATACTGCTATAATAGTTTGTAACAAGTAAATAAGAGGTAGGGAGGGGGATACGACTCACGAGAGGGTGTTATTATAATTTTGTGGTACATAGTACTATGAGAACTTGGGACATAAGAAATACATGTTTAATGAAAGGTTTTGTACCCGCAGTCATGCTACAGTTGCTACAGTTACAAAGGAAAATCATGAAACTTTCAGAGCATATGGAGGGAGAATGCCTCGAGTTCCTCGGATTTTTATTGGATAGATCGAACCGCCTCAGGAAGGCGAACAAAAAGTTTCTTTGGCCAAGATTTTTCACAAATGGGCAAAAAAGTTTTATAAGGAGTGAAGATTTCACCAGCCAAAATCAAAAAACCTCACAGGCAAAAGCGTGCCTCGTTGTCGTAAGTCCCTCGCTGCGCTCAAAGCGTGCGAGACGCGGCGTGGTACTTTGTTGAGTTTAAAACAAGAGTAAATCAAATCATTCAAAATAGATGTAAATATATTCAAATCAAGTTAATCAAACTGCATAAATCCGAGTTGAAGAAATCAAACAAGAAAAGGAGAGGTAGAAAGGAACTCACAAGATCGAATCGAGATTCAGAATCGAATCGAACCAAACAATCTAAAACAACAAGAGTCATCGTAAGAACACAAAAAATGATTTCAATTAGTTCTAAATAGTCAGATCGAATCAATGATAGGAAATAATTCAAACATCAGAAACAGAAAAAGAAAAGAAAAAACTTACAAGTTGAAATTGAATTGGATCAATTGATCAAAATAAGAAGAAATGACGCAATTGATCTAAAACAAAAGAAAAAATTGAAAATAAAATCATTTTGAATTGGTGTGGGGTTTTTTGCTCATGAGCTGATCGGCTGTGAGCTGGGGTTAAGCTAGTAGGTATTGCTCAGCTCTGAGCAAGACATTTCCTTTGTTTGTGTTTCACAGAGAATTGTGTTACAAACAACTCATATTTGTGACATAAACTACACAATAGATGTGACCTCAACGTCGAGGTCGCATCCAACGGGCACTGTGGCTCTGGCGGCTGTGTGATCCTCCCTCACAACTGCAGGAGCTGGTCATCAAAGCCCCGCCACGACCGGGGCCAATAGCGAACCTTGGCAAGACAACTTGAACAAAACGGTGCCACCGAACATTTCTCATCAAGGTAGAGAGATATAGAAGAAAAATATGGGAAGCGGAATTTTAAGGCTCAACATAGTAAACAATCCTTTTCTTGTCTCTCTTTCGTTATCTTTGTTTTCTTTGTCTTATCACCAAAAGCAAGTTCTAGAAACGGCGAAGCAAATGAATTTCAAACACCTCTTCTTAGCCAGAAGTACAGAAGACCAGTATCTATACATCCAAGGGGTCGAAGCAATCACCTGATCAATTGGTGTCACCCCGGGCAAACAGGTGACGCTACATATGTAGCGTCGCACTGACGCCACGGGGCCGGGCTTCGAGCGTCACCTGTCTTTCTGCGGCGTCACCTGGATTCTTGTAGCGTCAGCTACCCACGCCATCCTCCCAATGAATCACTGGTCATCGATCCTCGCTCAGGGTCTAGTTCCTTTTCAATCGGAAAATCCCAAGTACAGCACCCCTGAACGTCACCATCGAGCTCAATTGGTCCAACATCAATCTTCTGACGTGTATCTACCTCTACGCTGCTCAGCACCTTTGTCAAGGATGATCTTCCGAAGAAAGGGCGAAGGATCAACCAATGATCTTAAATATATTTCGAATACGTTTCAAATCATCTTCATTCTTGATCGCAAAGGAATTTATATACGGTCCCTCTTCTATAACATCCCACAATCTTTCATTGACTCTATCGATTTCATCTTTGAAAATACCTGTAGTCGCATCTTTGACAACATGGATCCTCCCGTTGATACCCCCGCTAGTCAACAATTGATGCTTCCTCCCGTCGGTCCTGCCGCCAATGAACAATTGACGATTCCTCCCGGCGAACCTCCCACCAATCAACCGTTGATAATTCCTCCCGCGAATCCTATAGATCTCCAATTGATATCTAGACAACTGGCAGCTCAGAATGAACTAATTCAAAAGATGCAGAATGACGCTTCCGCCCGCGACGAAGAATACAACCTCCTCAGCAAAAAGTTTGACAAGATCTCGGTCAAGAAGTCATCTACAAAGTCAACAAAAGCTAAGCCCAGGGCCTCTACTAGCGCTATCCCAACTGCGACACAAACCTCTGAGAAGAAGTCTAGAAGACATTCATCTGTAACAACAAAGATCAAGCCCGCAAGCTCTGGTGCTCGAAAATCAAAGGTCTCTCCTACTAAGACCCCCAAAAGACCTTTGACTTCTGCCAAATCGACCCCGAAATCAACATCGAAAACCTCCAGACGTGCCTCTGCACCACCTCCAAAGTCATCCCCAGTAAAACAAGATCCCAATCAATTAGATACACTTGAGGTTCCTGAAGGGTTTCAAAAAACCAAGGTGAGTTTCTATCTATCTCTCTTCCTACAATCAAAGTCATACTGAACTTTATTTGTTAGGATTGTTTTTATGCTTTTATTCGAATCTTATGGAACATGATGGAAAAAGGCTCGATTCCCGTGGTACCTGACCCAGAACGTTTGGCCAAATTCAACGCTCAATTCACCGAGGCTGCTCAGATCACAGAGGTCGCTGACAGCTCTACAGAACAGGACCTTATCCCTCACAACGAGATCGTGACACTTGCTGACGCTCGATCTGGACGCATCAAGATCGGCCGTGGAATTGTGCACGTTCAGGACTTTTTTCTTCGTTACTCTCTAGCTATGCTGGCCAAGCTTGGAATCCGCCGCTGGTGTCCTGACCTCACAGATGCACCCGATTCCCTCTGGAACGAGGCATGTCGTATTAGTGCTATCCGGATCTTTCGAATGTGGGTCACTGGGAAAGCGTTTCCAAACGCTAGCGGCCAGTACCTCAACAATATCCTTTTACTTGAGCGAACCTACAACCATTATGTTCATTACTGGATCGCTTCGAAATTCAAGAGGGAGACAAAAGAAAACGGTAGTATTCAAAAAGAAGAGGAAAGAAAAGCGGTTCAACAGGCTCGTCAACACGTGAGAACGTTTTTCCCCTCTTTTATTCAACATTGGCTTACTATTGCTTCATACCTGCAGCTTCGTGATGCTCGGTTTGCTCATGCAGTCGCACACAAGTTTCCTAAGTGCTATCAGGAGATGTTGGCTATGGTCGAGGCTCATAGCGACGATGAATATCGCCCCAAGCGTGGTGCTTACGTAGTCAAGACCCCAGGATACCGATCCGAAGCTGCTGGTATTTTCATCCGACGTGTTGATGAGCGTATGGCTAGGGATGACGAGCTCAAAGGCAAACGAGTGCAAAGACGCAAGCGATTCCGACCAAAAAACCCAACTCAATCGATGTTTACAAAACCTCCAAAGGGCCTACCGCTGGACTTTTACCACCCCGATTGGTACAACAACATCTTGTCAATCTCACAGCGAAAGGATATGGCGGATGTCTTCAAAGTTATGTTTCTCCCAGATCCTTCTCTGTCTCTTCTTGGTAACACACATCCCGATGAGAAACTTGGCGACAAAAAATTCACCGAAAAACATTGGGCTAGGGCAACCAAACATTATAATCTCAAACATGAGGAGGATCCTGGCTCAGAGGATGAAGAATCATCTGATGACGACGATGAAACTTACGCTGGAACTAGCGAAGATCTTGACGACACCAATGGAGAAGATGATGATGAAGAGGAGGAAGACGATTATGAAGAGGAAGAGGAGGAGGATGAAGATGATGATGATGATGATGAAGAAGAGGAAGAGCCTCTTGTGGTCGGAAAAGGAAAAAAAAGGGCTGAAACAAAAGAAAGTGCAGCGAAAGGGAGAGGTGAATACTATGTTGAAGATGAGGACATGGAGGCAGATGAAGACGATGCTCGGGCAAAAAGGTGGGATGCTTGGAAAAATGCTTGAGTGAGGATGATGATTTCTTGGCTTCTGTCTTAACTGATTTGTTTCTTGTCTGTCCCTACCGTGTCTGATTCTTATTTTTTTCTGTCTGTCTTTACCGTCGTTTTTTTGTTACATTCTCTCAATCCTCTCTGTTTCTATGTGTCGATGTGTCTCGAATTTTATTTTCCATTCTGTCTTTACCGAGGTGTCTGTTTAATGATTGTTGTTTCATTTTCCTCTGTGTTTCTCTTCTCAAAAAAAAACAAAAAAATTCTCTTTCGTATGTATATAGTTGCAATGTGAATAGTTTCGAAAAAACTTGAGCGAGCTAAATGGTGAGAGACATGAAGTATGAGTTTTACAAAAAAAAAAGTGAACCCTTCCTGCGAGAACAAATTTGGACATTGATGGATTGGAATTGAAACAAAACATCCCTTCGAAACCATCCACCAATTCGGAAGTTCTTCCCACGACCATTGGTGGTACGTAAAGGGTCTCCTGAGTCCTTTAATATATATAAACATGTTGATTGCCCCTCAGCTTGCCAACTATCACCCAAAAGAACAAATCATCCAAGATAAAAATTTGACTCGTATAAACTTTACGGACTTCATCAGTTACACCTTACCTTCATGTCTTTTTCCGGTAACATACATGATTCGCTCGATTGGTCCACTTTACCAGAACACATCTTGGAAAACATCTTTTCAAAGCTACCACGTTTCCCGGAAGGCACTCAAAACGTTCATCTTACACCAGTGTGCAAGAGCTGGCACGAAGCTGGTAAAAAGATGTGAGTGAGATTTTCACACATTCATCAGAGCTCTACCAGACTAACAAGTGTGAATCCAGGTTCTGGAGCGACATCAGAGTTAGTGGAATGGTGGCGTTGGTTAAACTTCACATAATGGCCGTAGAGTTTCCCGAGCGTGCGGTCAAGACCAAGACCCTGTGGATACATGATACCAACTTTATGAAAGACTTTGGCCGTACCAAATGGGCCGCTCTCTCAGACGAAGAGAAAGGTTGGGCAAAAGATTATGTCTGGCCAAGCTTTTGGGCCTACCCATGGCTTCCCAAGGCGTCTGTTTATCTCATCTCATAGTCAGACTTGTATTTCTTTTCCGTCTCTTTCACATTTGTTGTTTCCAGTTATATCTCTCTATCTCTCTCTTGTCAATCTTTGGAAATAAATTTCTTGTTAAATCATTACCACCAACTATGTTACAGTACAAATCTTTTCAATTAAAGACACTCCCATCTTACAAAACGAGGCTTAACACAAATAATTTGGAAACATACATAGCTTCAAATCATGGAGGGGTCAGTATTGATATCCATCGCATCTCCATTACCTACTGTGGAAGAATAAACCACATCCATATCCCTAACCACAGGTTTGTCCTCTGCTGCCTCTGCTCCTCCGCCAATTCCTAAAATCAAGATACTCGAACTGTTAAGACCCATCGACCAAGCAGGGAGATTGCGATGGGGCATTGGTGAAACTATGTATTTGGTAGATATGATTTTTTTCTTGAACGTCTGTATGACGCGAGTTATGCCTAACTGGCCAAACACTGACCCCAGCATTTCCTCTTTGACCTCTGAGAGTGTTTCTACCAATGCGACCATATCGGAAGGGTCATCCAATTTCAAGATATGAAGCAGCTTTGCCCAACCCACCTTACCGTCCACCTCTAGTTTGACAATGTTATTTGGGCTCTTTTTGCTATATCGAATCCCAGTTTTACCTTCAAGACCCATAATTTCCCGCACAAAAGGTCCTAAAACCTGGGCATCAACTGGGTACGGTGGTTTTCGGTAATCCGTCCAAGATTCATCTTCATTTTGATAGTAGTTTAAAAGGAGATTGTAAGTCATGTTGTCCACTTCGAAAGCCAGCCCCACGTTTTGTGTTTGCTTTTTCAAGTGGATGTGATCTTCTGGGGGAGCTCGGCCTAGCAATCGCTGAAGGTGACAAAAGCGTCGCATTATTGTTTGCGCCATTTCCTCTAGAGGAGCAAAAAACACGTTAATTATGAAATTTGAAATGATAAATCAATCCAGCTTGGTGACTCACCAACTTTCCCGTTCGTGTTAAGCTTCTGTAAAAACCCGCATAGTCGTTCTCCTGCAAATTCAGCCACACCTAACATTGGACCCCACCAATCCATCTGAGCTGCCATATGAATAGCATAGTGATGGTTCGATCTGATGTTGAGTCCCGGCTGCATCTCCTCCGACGTGACCGTATACTTGAAGTAAGCTTTCTTGTACCGATCCGAGTCGCCACTGCTAACCGCTCTCGAACCCACAATACACAGGGGCCAAAATAGATACTCACATACATGTGAGCGTTGTAGACTTTTTGGAATTCTCCAAAAAAGATTCATTTTCTTTCAGATTGATTCAATTCACAATCTTGTTTGTGTTCAGGTGATCATCCTGTGGTTCTCATATTTTATTTGACATTTATTGAGAAGGCTCATTTCCATCTTGGATGAGCAAGAACTGATTCCCGATGAGTACTCAGGATCAGCTCATGAGGCACTGAATACTCAGCAATTTGTTCAAAATGAAGATGAGCACATGAACTATACCTTCCTGAGGCTTCATTTTTCAGTGAAGAAGCCTGCCCAGGGGCGTCCCATTTGAGCTGCTCAGCAAATACTCAGTAGCATCCCCTGACTGGATCACTGATGGGCCGGACTTTTCTCAGACTTCCTTGCTAAGGAATGAAGCCTGATAAAAGTGTCATCCCATCTGCTCATTGCTCAGCTAATCCTCAGTGATGTCCCCGGATAAAGTTTTTCACACTGAGGGGCTGAGATCAACTGAGCAGCCCCTCAGCCAATACTCAGTGACATCCTTTGGATCCTTCTGATCCAGCCAGGAATGCCCTTGAGGACTAGCTGAGCAGGCCCTCATCCAATGAGCAGTGAAATCCTCCGGATCCTCCTGATCTCAGGGATGCCCCTGAGGAATAACTGAGCAGCTCAGTTGAACGAGCAGACGGGCCTCAGGCTTCATTCCGGAGCCATGAAGCTTGAGGCAAGCTTGGCTCTCTGTGATCCATCTGGGGGATACTTCAGAGACTTAGCTAAGGGAATACTTAGTTCAGCTCAGCCCCTAAGCTATACATTGGTGGCATCCCTTGGAGCTTACTGAACCAGGGAATGCCGCTCAGGATCAGCTGAGCAGATGGATCAGCCCTTCCTCAGACTTCTTTGCTCAGGAATAAATGCTGAGGAAGGCTTAGTTTGTCTGCTCAGTTCCTGATGATCACGTAATCAGCTGAAAAACAGAAAGAAAAGGGAAACAAATGGGAAACAAATGGGAAACAAATGGGAAACAAATGGGAAACAAATGGGAACAAAACAGGAAAATTTCAATGCTCACATAGTTGTGAGCATCAATTTTTGCCCCTGTGATATGTGTACACTCTACAAGAGCACACAAGTTTTGTAATAATCTTGAAAGATGTCGATTTGATTTGCCTTCAATGAAAGCATCATATTTGCTGACAAAGATATCGACCGCCGCTAATGGTAGATGAATAGCAAATGAAGCGTGCCATTCACTGGCCTTCAACTTCCCATTGGCGGCAGTTCCGACGCCTTTTGGAACTCGAGTTACACCTACGGGGACCAGCACTTCATGTAGATTCCTGAGGATGGCGACAATCAGATCCCTTGAAAGCCATCCTGTACCTTCTTCAATCTTGTCTAGGTCGACCTCCGCTTGATCCAACACAGCTTGTGCCAACTCCTTCTTGACCTCAAAAGCCCATCAAACGCGAAAATGGTGTGCCAGGACGCCCTCGAACCAATTATGCATAATCCCAAGTCCTACATTTTTAACTGGGTCCCAATACGGCAGCCTGTTAATTTTGGACCATCGCACACCAGTCGCTTTGACTCGAGTCTTACGTTCTTCAATCGAATCGCACGTTTTCCAGACGTGTGCTGCATCCAGGACGTTTCTTCTAGTTCGCTTTTGTCCGATCGTCATCTGTTGGATTTTCTTATGGGGGCAAAGAAACCAAGAGCAGAAGAATGTACCTGAATGTGATGTAAACCCAGCCACCTTATGGTTTGCAACCATATCTCCAACAAGTATTGTGAGCCGGACAATCACTTTGCGTCCTTCGGGATGGCGATTCGTTCGGATTTTGACAGTGCGATTGAGTGCCAACAATTGATCAATGTGAGGTGATAAGATGTGACTGGTTGTAGTCATGTCCGGTTGGTTTGGAGCCGGGACCACTCCAGCAAGAAACGTATTACGGATCAGATGACGGGCTTGAGGTGGTAGGTTCAAACAGTGAAGAGCAAGGATACCCAGGGATGTTTGGCGACCCGATATCTTGTTACCCAGAGGATTGAACCAATTGACAAACAGAGAGAAAGCTAAGTGTAATGTGGAGCCTGTCGCTGACAATTCTTTGTTGAGACCAGGATAGAGCGCTTTCCAAGCTGATGACTGGAGGTAATCAGTAACCTCAGGTGAATCCTTGTTGCATTCATCCGCCCAACTATCAATGGTGTCTTCAATGTCGGGTAGCGATAAGAACCAAGTAAGCCAATTGTGAAAGTCTTGCAGCATGAAAGCTGAGACCGGTTTACTTGACTTGATGTTTTGATTGACACGAGGGGGTTTTTGATTCTTGGGGATGATTGACGGAATTTCCGGTATTTTGTGTGATAGCAGGAGTTCGGCTCCACACGGATCCGACGACGTAACTTCTCGATAACCACATTCGTTTGGGGCCGTTTTGATTGAGTATAATGAAAAGCACTTGAGGCAACAAACGTAGCGCTCGACTATCGGTTCAAGATTCAACCTTTTGGTTGTAGTTCGCACGTCATTTGGTATAGAACCAACCCAGCGATGGACAAGCTGAACCCGAGACGCCAAGTCCATAATCCTCACGACGTAGTCTCTAGCAAGAGAACATTTGACGCGTGTCATACCGCACACCAGGTATAGCCAAGCAACAAAGTATGTCACAAGGTCTAGATTCAAAAGTTATCAAAGGTCAGCTTTACGATAGGAATGAGTTGAAAAAATGGCTTCGACACGCACAAACCAGGTCTTCGAAACTTCCATCTGACGATTTGACCAAATCCGATGATTCAGATGATGAGCTTGTGGGTTCTGGCGTGTTTGGTCCCTTCATTTTGCTGAATTTCTCGGCCAACTGTGCCATAAAGTCGTCTTCGTTTGCTTCAGAATATCGAGTGAGGTGTTTGCTTCGAGTCGAAGGATGGACCATTTGACCGCGAACTTCGGTTCCATGCTCGTCGGTAAAGGTTTGCTTGCTACAGTGGGAGCAGGTACAATGAATTATTGAATCTTGCATGTTGTATAGAACACAGTAACAAAAAAGGGAGAGAGATATCGTTGTGAGAGGGGTGATGATATATGATGATTGTGTAGCTGACGCTACAAGAATCCAGGTGACGCCGCAGAAAGACAGGTGACACTGTCATCTGTAACAGGTGACGCTCGAAGCCCGGCCCCGTGGCGTCAGCGCGACGCTACATATGTAGCGTCACCTGTTTGCCCGGGGTGTGTATCCGGTAGACTCATGGCAAGTGCATGTCATGCAAGGCCATCGATCGCATGATGTGTTCAAATCCTCGACACGTACCTTTTTTGTCAGTCTCGATGTGGAGTCCTGCTTTTGAAGGGCCCCAATCCTCAACTCAAATCAATTGATTTGTTTGAATCAGTCAAGGTCTCAGGGCCTGTCAATCTGCCACGGAACCAAACGGTTCTGATATCATTACGATATTGGACCGAGATAAAAGTGATATCAAAAATTTGTATATTGAATCGAGATCGAATCGATATCAAATTGACATCGGGCCAGATGACATCGAATTGATATCAGCGCTGAGTCCTGACCCGTGGTGTATTACCCCCAAAATGACTTTTCTACCCCTACTGAACCCTCGGGGCAAGTGAGATAGCTCGGGTCGGTAAATTTCGACTTTTGCGGGCGCGCGCGTGGAGGACCCAGGAATGCGCCTACAGAGGTATCTGATGAAACCTGTTTTTCAGTTTTTGGGCTCTACACAACACACCACTCCTTGTCTCAAGGTCCAGAGCACTTCAAAAGATGCGCATGGACTAGGGCTATCAAATGAGCCTACCCCCAGTCTCTCAACTCCCCTCACTTTCGCGCAAAATCGATTGGCGCAATTTTTTTTCGTGCCTCCAAGGCCTGATTCCGACGTTCGATTTTAAGGCTCTTTTTGACCGTTACATCCCATTATCTCAGGAAGTATTGGTGCTATGAGGTTGAAAGCTAGCTTAAACGAAAGCCTTTAATGTCACGCACATTTTGCACTACTGTAGGTGCTGTGAATGTGTCGTTTAGTGCCCTAAAAACCCGCCAACAAAACGTCGGAATTTACATCAGATACCTCTGTAGGCGCATTCCTGGGTCCTGCGCGTGGTTGGGACTACATGATAGCAACTGTACAACTCCAACAAAGGGCTTGGCAGATCCACCACAAATCCAGACTACATATGTGTACATATGTATCCAGTGACAAGGTTTTTGAGTTGACTTCAAATTATGTCAGATCACAGAAGATTGCATGTCTTTAGGAAGAGTTAGTGGAACACACAACAACAATTTTTAGAACAAAGCAAAACAAATGGTGGAGTTGCAGGTCTTGTGGGTGGTTGTCCATTTTGATTCTATTGTAAACCCTCTCTTTTGATTAATTAGGGAGTGGTGGTCCAGTATGAAACTATGTGAAGATACTCTCAAATATGAATTTCCAAAGATTCACTTTGCCCAATCCTATTGAGCAAAAAAATAGCAAAGCAATATTGATTTTTCAAGCAATACAGCTCACTTCTCAGGCAAGAATTTCCATCTTCTCGTGAGGGAGAGGGACTTACTTAAGTTTGGGCTCTCTAGGGTTTTAGTTGAAGGCTGTGTTCAATTAAGTTCAGGAGTCAAAACCTCTAATTTGGGTATATGTAGCAGCGTAGGATATATTTACGTCATCCAACTCCATCGGATCGGTGATGACGAATAACCATCAGAATCTTGGTATGTCGTCATCGGAATTTAGGTAAATAAACCTCACCACTTCATCAGAATTGCTAACTCGGTCCTGTTCTTCTCTCCTCACCGCTCACAAATCAACATTGTCTATCAGACCCTAGCACTTCGCTGTCCACAACTTCAGGAATTTCGCCACTATATTCTGCTTCTGCCTCCATCGACAAGCTCTCCGAATCCATCACTTTTGGGACTACAATGGGTGGAACTACTGAGGCTGCCAACTCCCAAGACACACGGGACTACATCAGTGAGTAAACGCCCGATCTGATGGATCGTTTGAATCGGTTACATAAGCAAGCATTCAACTGATCCTTTCCTCACTACTGCAGTCACCTTTAAGGCTGAGACTACCACCGGTAAGTAATTATCATCTGTATTGAACTAGACCTCATATAATGTTCTGGATATTAATTTTCCAATATCAGAGGAACTCGACAAGTACGAGAAAGATATATTAAGCAAAGGTATATATCACCTATCTGAGTTGTGATTTCGATTTTACCTTATCGTCTGACGTTTGAATGGGTTTTCTTAGGCGGAAAAATTCGACACAAGTATGATTCCACGATCATGAAAGGTTTCGCGGTCTCTGTTCCAGCCAACAGCCTTCAAGCTCTCTCAGACAACCCTGGTATCCAGAACGTTGGTGAGTAAATAATCTTGGTCAAATCCTTGCTAAGTTTTGCTCGCATATTGACCAATCTATGTTCTGTTTTTGCAGAACCGGATCAGGTAGTGACCACCCAGTAGACTCTTGTCACACTCTTGATGTATTAGCGGTTGTAATTTTAGCCTTGGTCATGTCTTGCTATCATCAATTTCTCCATCTTGCAGAATATGTTGCGTATCGTGTAATACTTCGTAGTCGATTAGTTTTGGCTGAAAGTTGTGACAGCTATACTCATCTATATAAGTGATCATAGTTCACCATGACAGAATCCGAATGTATGAGCGTTCCAGAGCTCGTCATCAGCCAGATATTTTTCGCAGTGCGGTAAGCGTTTTCGTCGGGCGGCCTAATCACGCCTGCAATGGCCACAATGATTTGTCCGACCTCCCTTGCGACTCGAATCGGCGATGGTTGTGGAACTATTGAGTGTTTCCCACTGATTCCAATGTTAATGTCTGTCTTGTTTGTTTTGCAGGGACCTCCTGCAAAACACTCACATCTGCTGTACTCAGGTATTTCGTATCGATGAGGCTGATGATCGTCCGTCCTTCTCGCATAACGCACTTGACATGTTCCACCATGTGGCTACCTTTCTGCAGTTTAAGTCCATCATACACGCGAAGATCAGGATGTTTTCACCACTGGTTTTCATTGGGCTCGCATTGATCACCATGCTATCATCCTACGCAACAGCGATGCTCTTCTATTGTGAAATAGGATTTCCAGCTTGAGTCCGACTCCTACCATCTTCGCCTATGATGGTCAAATATAGTCGATGCTATTGACGTGTCTTTCATGGCATTGCTCGAGCCTCCCTTCTCGTCGTGCAACACATACACCGCCCGTCACTGCCTATTTGCTTCAACCGAACTTCGAAGTCCATGACCAGGGCTCTCATTCGGTCCGAGGAAAAAGCAGGATGGTCTCCACGATGCTCGCCCCTCTGTGGCAAACTTCTTCCTTAACTGGAACATCTGAGGTCCGGATCTGAGGCCACTCTGGCTTTATATTTACATCAATCAAGACAGGTTATACGATCCGATGGTCTGCGAGCCGGAACTACCACGATGCATCTGCCATGCGGTATGATTGCTTAGCTTGGACTTCCACGAGACGTATGATTGGCGAACCGCAGAATGATCTGAGGTCATGACTCAATATCCGCCATCGAAATTCTCCAGATCAGTTTGCTCACGAAAAATTCCTCGCAGTTCTCAAGCTTTTTAAGAAGACGCAGCCGATCATACTTGAACCAGAAACATCCCATTACTTTTATACTTCTAGGAAATCGTTCAAATCTGCCGGTATCATTGATCGTATCGTATCAATGTACGTAAAAATACATCAAATCCGCTGCACCTTGAACCCAGAATACTCCACCCATGATACAAAGCACCAGTTCAGGCGCTTGCTGTCCGAGTGTTTCAAAACTCATATGATCAAATAAATATCAAGGAGTGGCTGATACTCAGTCACCTCACTCATTGGCTTCCACGTCCTTCACAGTGTATCTCTTAGTAGTGAAGAATCTTTCGAGGCATAATTCGTCGCACATCTTTCATAAATCATAGAAAATGGTACTTTTACATGGTTTCATTACGTTTGCGTACATCACAATCTTATCCTTCTCAGTACTGGGTATGAACAACTTGAAAAAGACCGGACTCGGAAATCTAATTCAAGATCTAAAGTTCAAGCCCGTCATCTTCATTGATTCTAAAAAAGTCCTTTCACCTATGAAACGTTTTTGGGGTAAGGATAAAACCCGTGAAGGCTCCCGAGAATTTTTATTTGATCAATACTCTTCATTTTACGAGACTTCTCAATTTTTCAAAAAACATCAATCTCAAAAAGAAAGTGGACTCAAAGCATTGGCTATCCGTGTCTCGATTTTGTTAAATAAACCCGAACTCCATTCGGGGTCTCTAAAGAGCTTATTACAGGATAAACAAGAATTAGCAAATGCATGTGAAATTTTGGCTAGCCAAGCTTTGAAAACACCAGAAAAGTTAAACTCATTCGAAAGAATTTGGGTGGTTGGAATTTTAGCTGGACTTACAAAAGGTAAACAAGATTTCAAAATTCCAAAAGATCTAAGTAATCAGGTTTATTTAGAGATACAAGCTGCTTTACGTAAGTAGGATATAAGTTTATGTGACTATGAAAATCGTAACTCGAGTGAATCTTTCTTTTTGATTCTCTAGATTATGAAGCTCAGATAACAAAAACTTTCAAAGATTGGATACCTAATAAAAAGATTGGTTCTCAAAGTGAGTAGTTATATTTTCAATCCTTCAAAGATCATCAAAACCTGACTTCATGTGCTTAACCTGAAGTCTCTGGATCTAGACTTGAGGAATTATTGAACCGGGCTGATATCATTGGCGAGCATGAAAGTCAACGTCCACCTAAATCAAATAACCAACCTATAGACAATCTTGTCTCTCATTTTCTCATGGAAGTGGAACTACCAAAGGAAGAAAATATGATTTCAAATATCATAGGTCAATTGCGTCAGATTTTCAAAACTATGGAGTACAACAGTAGGGAAGGTCGTTATACCAGGGACATATTTGAACATCTGTCATTTTATTCTACTCAATTCAAGCATTTGCTACGCTCTGCTTTAGAAGATGGACCATTCTGGAGAGATTTACATATATCTTTGGTAAAGAATGATGTCATAGAACTTTCCAATAAGTTACAACCAATCTTACAAAGTTTTCATGTTGGGATAGGGCACAGCCTCTACGAAATCTTGAAAACACCAAATCCAAATCCAAAGTATTTTGAAGATGCCATCTTGAACTTATTGGGAAAACTGAAAGAGATCTCAATTGAATCAAGTGAAAACCTGATAGATGCTTACAACCTTCTTATAGCTCATAGTTTCCTCAGTTCATCTGCTGAAGAGACTATTATCACTAGAATCCAAGTAGATCCCATCGCTCATTCTGGTATCTCAAAAGCCTTGGCAGCTGTGTATCCTGATTTTGTCATAGAAGAAGTGAATGTGGTGGACTATCGGTACGTCATGTGGAAAAAGGGTTAGTTAATTCTTTCTCATCAAGTTTTAGTGAAAATGATTGATTTACTAACAAGACTTGAATTCTAGAGCCTCAATTTTTAGTAGGTGCAAAATTTGAAAAATTTCAATCTGATCTTAAGCCACTGAAGAAAAAATTATCTAGCCTTAGAACTCCTCTCCTTCCACCTATAAATTTTTTATATAAATCTCAAAAAGAAAACCGTATGGATCGTTTTTATATAAGAGTTCAAGATATTTTAAAAAATCATGAAACTCTTCCAGATCAATCATTTGGAATAGGTCTTGAATTCTTATTGATCATCATTCAATTATATCCAGAACATGAAAATTATTTAATAAAATATTTAAATAAAGATGTCATACTAAAAAAAGAAAGCCTTTTAGAAGCTATAGATCAATTAACTTACAAACACAAATTTTCATGGCGTGGAGAAGAAGACAAATTATCTAATGAACTCAAAACATTTGCAAGTAAACTCAAATCAGTCAGTTTACATTCTCTCATTTTCCCTAAAGTTTTATCCAAGTCAAATATTTAATATTGATGAAAAAAATCTGACCATCCAGAAAATACAAAATCAATTACCACAAGCAGAAGCCAAGAATTTAGTGTCTATGAAGGCAAGACAAGAAGCAGAAAGTTTAAGTCTTGTCCCATTGAAAAAAGAATTCAAGATTATCATTGGAAAAGAAGAATTTGATTTTAATCCTCAAAACTGGGATTCTTTTCAAGCACCTAGATCTACTCAAAATTAAAATCTTTCAAGGTTTTCAGTAATTTATAAAACAGATCTTCTGTTGAAAACCTATTTTGAATTTGCAATGTCATGTGTGCTCCCAGAATGATGATTTACACTGCCATGCATTTCAAAATATTGTTGTATCCATCCAGCAAGATCAGAGGAGGCAATTTGGTCCAAAGCAGATTTCATGACTAGTGCTATGATGGTTATGTGTGTGTAACTCTAATACTTGTTCTTTATAGTGGGGCATGTTAAATTGGTAGTCTTCAGGAGCCTGAGGATGTACATAGTGACCCTTGCACTTCCTCAGCAAGTTACAGTTTTTTAGGAGTCAATTTTGCTCGTAAAAAATTAGAAAAACCCACCCACCTCCCCAGTTGAGAAATAAAAAACCTTCTCAGGTCTGTTCTTGCCCCCCAGGCGGTAAGTTCTTGAAATGGGTCCAACTTTCTCATTTCAAGGACCCCACCTCCTTTCAATTTGGCATCATCCCCACACCACATATCTAAATGATATTGAGTCTGAGTCTTCAGGTGAGACTAGGTACTCTAGGTGAACAGGACGGACATACTTGAGGAGTTTTGGAAACCTCAACACAAGGGGAAACTCATATGATGAGGATCTGAGTTCAATCAACCTCACCTCACCTGACTTGCTTAGTCCTTTCAAGTGAGGAATGCATCAAAAATACTTTTTAAAAAAAATTGCACACATACATCCCCCAAAGTATATAAGAAGTAAAACCTCTTATATATTGTGGTTTGAGTTAATACATAAAATCCATTAAGTCCTAAATCATACTCCAGAAAAAGCTACAAATTCTCTAATAACATTTCACAAAAACAAACAAACAAAATCTTTCAAACCCCACCAACACCTTAAAAAACCCAAACTAGTACCAAAAAAAAAAAAAAAACTTCCAAATTCTTTTCCTCAAATTATAAATATTATGTATATAAAAGAAAATTCTTTCTCTCTTCAAGCAAAAAAGAAACATATCAAACAAACTGATTTTTCAGAAAAGAAAAAAAAAACCAAACAGATCAATATCATCATTAAAAGAAAAACAAATCACAGACAACTTTTATCAAACTAATTTTTCTCTTCTCCTTTCTCTTTAACATCTTCATAAAAAAAGAGATAAATAAACAAAATTAAAAAGATCCTCAAAACTATCAATAATCAAATCAAACCAAACCAAACCAAGCCTTTTATAAAGTAAACAAAAAAACGAACCAAACCGAATTTCTTACTTACAAAAAAAGACAAAAAAAACAGATAAAAACAATCAAACCAAAACCGTTTATTCCATGATCCGTTTTCTCAAAGTAGCCATCAATGAGCTTTTAACCGCTTTTTCAGAAAGAGGTTCCACATTCAATCCATTTACTGAACTTGAACTCATCCGATCCACATGGCTCACATCATCTGTTGATGATTTCTGATGATCAGTAGAAACAGACGTATCTAATGCGATCTTAGTCTGAGCCAACTGTAAGATATCCTCCTACAGAAACCACACAAACCTAGTGTCAAAAAAAGTCTTCTGATCAAGAAAAAAAATCGTTTCAAATCAAATGACTTACTTCAATAGTGTGCTTCGTCACAAACTTGATCACATGTACATCTCTTTTCTGTCCAAGTCGATATGCACGATCTTCTGCTTGTCGATCATTATGTGGATTAAAGTCTTGATCAAAGATCACTACAGTATCAGCAGCCATCAAATTCAATCCTAATCCACCCGCTTTGGTAGATAACACTTTAAACCAAAAAAAAAACCAAACACATCCAATCCCAAAAACTTGGTTCAATCTTCTTGAATTGTCTCTATAGAAAAGATAAAACTCACAGAAAACTGTAATCGATTCATCATTAGTAAACTCGTCTACCAATGGTTGTCGATCTCCAACACTAGTAGAACCTGTTAAAATCAAAAATTTCACTCCAATACACTCCATCACTTTTTCCAAGATCGCCAACATCTGTGTAAATTGTGAAAAGATTAAGATCCTAGATCCTTTGGATTTCAATCTGATCACTAATTCTTTTAATTTTTCAATCTTTCCTGCATTCATCCATTCTTCATTCTTTAAGGCAAACTTGTTTAAATGCTAATGATGATTATAAGGAACAAAAAGAGTCGGATTTCAAAAATCATATGTCAATCTTCGGTTCATAGAAAGAAAGAAGTGATTAGGAAAGAGAAAACCAGTACCTTGTATTGTGTTGAAAACAAATGTAATTCGAAATCCGTCATGACCTCCATATCTTCAAAGATCAATTCCACATTCCTATCATGAAATTCCAATTCCTTCAAACAAGCTTTAGCCATCAAACGGATCGTTTGATCATTGTAAAGTCTTCTAAATAACATTGGATGATTAGAAGCTTTCCTAAGCTCCATCAAGATATTAGTAGATAATGGTCCATTACTTCCAGTTTTCTTCTTCTCATTCTTCTTCTTCTTCTTCTTTCCTTCTTCTTCTTCATCCAAATCATCTAAATCATCTACTACAATCTCATTGCTGATCAAACTTTTTTTACTTCTACTTAGTGCTTCATCATAAAGTGCTTTTTGATTTCCAACCAATTCACAATACATCACCTCCTCAATCTTCTTAGGTAATTCACTCAATACCTGCGCTTTCTTTCTTCGTAACACAAAGGGTGACATCATCTTCTTGGCTCGCGTCACTCTTGTTTGTGCCAATAAGTTCGCTTGCGCCTCGACTGGTACTTTGAAAATCATCCGAAGGTCTTCCTTTGCATTCTCAAAGATAGTAGGTAAGATGAAGCTTAATAGAGACTGTACGCATCATGGATCCGAAAGCCATCAGTAAACATCATCACATCTTTGAAAGGTTCGAGACGAATAGAATGGTTTGATACAGAAAAGAAAATGAAGACTTACTACGAGTTCTTGTAAGTTATTCTGAAGTGGTGTTCCTGTCAACAACAATCGCCATTGAACACGCATCCTCATCAGATCCTTGTACTTCTTACTCTCGCTGTTCTTCAATTGATGACCCTCATCGTAAACACAGGCATCGAATCTCATCCGATCCAAAAACTTTCGATCATCAGGTGCACCGCTAGCAACATTGTAAGTAGTTAAGATCACATCAAGCTCTTCTAGACCTTTTAACTCGTATCGTAGATCCGCACGTTCAACTTGATTCCCATAATACGTTCGAACCAAGAGATTAGAGCTGAACGTCTTAAATTCTCGAGTCCAATTGTCCAACGTAGAAGCCGGTACGATCACTAGATGAGGGCCCGGACGACCTGAAAGTTTAAGATGAGACAGAAAAGTGACCACCTGAGCCGTCTTTCCCAAACCCATCTAAGAAGAGAGAAAGATGAAACCACCAGATCAGATCAGTTCAAAACATTGAAAGTGCAAGATGTTACAAAATATCGTACCTCATCAGCAAGGATACAAGAAATCCGTTTTGAATATAATAGATTCAACCAGTTCAAGCCTAAAAGTTGATACGCTTTTAACTTGATGCCCGAAGGAATAGATTTTGGCTGGTTGTAGAGGTAGCCTTTCATGGCTGGATGACTCGAGTTTGATTTGACATTGATCAAATCCACGGCACCATCGGCATCCGGAGTCGAACTTTCATCCATTCCAGCCCAAACACTCATAATCTTAGATAGCTCAGCACCGTGCGCTTCACATTTGGTCAACACACGGTCCACTTCGATGTACCCCTGTTGAACGAAAAAGAAATTACAATTCAGTTAAATTGCAGAGGAGATAGCTTGATTGAAATCTCACCTTCATGACCTCTTGGTACTGTGTGAAGACTGCTGAGCTGACACCTTTCCGTTTTCGAAGCTTTTTCTTCATGTCCTCCGGATCTTCAAATGGTCTTAAGCTGGCGATAATCTTGGCTTGTTCGATAGTACAAGCTAAGAAAACATGCCGAAGGATACTTGAGAAACAATGCAACCCAAAACGAAAGCAAATGAGGACTAACCAGTAACAGCTGGTAGATCAGCTATATCACAAGTATTGAAAAACTCTAGGGCTTCTACATCACTGATACTCGGTCCTTCATCTTCCTTTCGACTTGCTCTTCGAGAATCCCAATCTGAATCATCCCCATCACTCACAACAGCAGCTTGTTTACGTTTCCTTGATTCCGGTTTAGGTAATTTAGCTGACACGATCTCCACTTCGTCATCGTCATCATCATCGTCTTGAATGACCGCTTTCCTACGTGGTTTGGATGATTCACCAGTTGAAGATCCAACCACCTCGATCTCATCTGAATCTTCTACTTCATCTTCTGATTCTACAATCTGAATTCTTCGCTGGACTTTCTTCTTCACCATCGTAGGACCTTTCTCAGGACTACTACTCGGGATGGTGACCACACGTGAAGGAATTGGACGCGAATGAGTAAACAGTTCCGGTAGATCGTCATCATCTGTCGTAGGAAAGATGGCCGATGGAGCTACTGTTCCTTGAGATTCTTGAGCAACATATTCTTCATCTTCACTCCCATCAGCATCTAAATCCGTCAGCGAATCCGATGAAGTTGATTTAGTTTCAATGGTTTGAATCTCGACTTCATCTTCATGATGTACTTCCACTTTAGAACGCTTTCTGGCTGGATTCGAATTCTTTCGATGATTAGGATTATAAGATGGTGGAATGTAAGCTGGTGGAACTAGAATCGAACTAGAAGAACTATAGAATTTAGAAGGTTTCAATCCATCTCCAAGTGGATTGGTCATCTTTCTTGCTGATGATGGTTTCAATTTTCGAGTTTGAGGTGGTAATAGAGACCCGGATTTAGAGTTGATCATATTAGATAGAGCTATTGACAAAAGAGATGATGTAAGTTAATGATATGTACGAAGTGTGCACGAGTTCGATGACAAGGTAGCCAGAGTTACTTACCTGATGATGACGATTGTCGACTGTCACAAGAACTTCCACCGTACATCTTGACTCTTGAGCCTTGGAGGGAAAGTCCAGAATCGGTGAAGATCTGTTGTTGAGTTGTGATAGGGTTCTCTTACGAGAATATAGATAGAGAATAAGAATTTGGTTTGATATAATATTAGGTATATCAAGGAAATAGGAAGAGGAAAGGTGTTTTGAAGATAGTTTGTTGATTGGTTTCGATGGTAAGGTGGATGTTGTATGCGGCGTTTGATAAAAGATGCTCAACAAAGTGATGGCGGGTAAAATTCGGTCAAGATCTCAAAAGCTACAACCGGTTTCGGTCTTCGGTCTACGGGAGCCGGATGCCGTCACTACATACAGCTCCTCCTTGGTATTAACATATAGCGAGCTACATACGAGCATATTTTCACACTGTCACTGTCAAGCGCGACTGTGACATGTACACGGTACACCTCAAGCCTGATCGTCGGCGGTCGCGCCATTGGAAATCACCTTGAGCTCAACTGCCTTTTTTCTACTTCAAGTTCAACTCAGAAACACATTCAATCAACCTTACAGATTTCAATTCCTCATCCAATTTTCTTAATGAACTTTTCCTCTGAGGCTGAGCTTTATCTATTTCAAACACACACAGGACATCTTTGAATAAGTTCAGTATCAATCAAGATTTCTTCTCTAGTTAAAAGTATTGTGATTTCATCAACTCAGCTTATCCTCAAGTGTCTAAACAGGTTACCTCTAGATAAAAAGTCAATCATTCATAGTTACATATTTCCCATACACTTCTTTTTACATACCTTGATTTAAGATCCTTTGATCTTACTTCCTGATCTTTAAAAAATAAAACACCCAAATGAATTTTATAAAGTTTGATTTTTTGAATCCCAATACCAATCAATTACCAAGTAGCCGTAGTATCTGAACCTAAAAAGTGACAGGATCAGTCAGGAATGAATTTTTATTGCTCGATGTGCTTTGATTGTGATGAAAAATTCAAATTGTTTGGATTTGTACCTTGAATGATATCAGTTTGGTTAAGAGTTCAAGTGAATGAAGTAAATGGAAATAAGGAAGCTTGAGGCTGATACATAAAGGTAAATGATCATAAGTGTAGGTCACCTCAATGAACATTTTTTCAAAGACTTGATATTTCCAAAAAGTCAATATATAAAACTTAGTGTAAAACGAAAAAGAAACACGATTTCAATGTCAATAAAAAGATATTTATAAGATACAAACCACATTAAAGAATCATTCATCCCCCACCACCACGACCAAAAAAAAACTTATCGTAAATGAGTACTGAAACTACGTTTTCTAGAACCAGAAGAACCAAGTTTTTCAACTTTGTGGTTTTCCAGTCCATTTAATTCGATGAGTTTAATTAATTCAGGTTCATCTGATTCGATTCCGATTGAAATCTCAAATGAGTTTCTGATCTCTTCATCTTCAATATTTTCAGTAACAGTTTTAATCACTTGTTTAGCACTAGAAAAACAAAAGGAAAAAAGAAAAAGTTCATGAGTGATTTTAAACCAAGAGCTTCTTGGAGGAAGGAAAAGCAAGTTACATTTTTTTACGTTCTTGGTATAATGATTTATATTTTTCTAGGTTTGAATTTAGTTCATTTATGGTTTGGTTTGGTTTTGGTTCTTGAAGTAATTTAGTTTCGGTTTCTGGATTTGAAGTGGATGAATGAGTTTTAAGATTGATAATTTTTTCTTCAAGTTCTTTTACCTATTCTTCCCCCCCAGCCATTCACCCACCCGCAGCAAAAAAAATCACACACCATCAAAATCTAACAGAAGAAAAATAAAAAGGTAAGGTGAAGACTGAACTTGTTGAGTTAATGATTCTTTGACTATTGAAAGTTGGGTTGAAGTAGGTTCGTTTCTTAGTTTGATTAATTGGATTTCTAATGACCCATTCTGATCTTTTAATGATTTTAATTCTTCTCTAAAGAAAAAGCAAATCGAGAAAAAGGTAAAAGGTTAAGAAAAAGTGTAGGGAAAAAAACATTTCTAAAGAGAAATTTCTTGGGGATCGACCGGATCCAATCAGATCATTTGACTTACTTTCCTTTAGTTAATTCGATTTGAATCTTTTGTAATTCTTCAGGTGATTCAGTGATTTCTTTAGACTAAAAAACCAAACACAAATCCAACAAAAAATATCCATGAGTTACAAGAAAACATCATTTAGGAATGCAACAAAAAAAGGATTAAGGCTTTGATAAACTTAACTTGTAAACAACAATAAATTTGTTGTTTACCAAATGATTTCATTAAAACCTTTTGGTTTTCGAATAAATGATTTAAACATCTAATGACTTCTACTTTTTTAATCACTCTTAAATTAGCTGCTAACTAAAGAAACCACAAAACCAAAAAAAGAAATATTAGATATTGGAAAATTTAAAGAAGATGAGAAAGAGAAAAAGGATATGGATTGGTTTACCTACATCAGTAGCATTATAAGGTCTATATATATTCAAAATCAAATCAAGTCGTACACGAATTCCAATTCAAGATATTTGTTTAAAAAAGACAAACGAGAAAACCTTTTATTAGAGTATCATCAAAAACCTAAATAATCCAAAGAAAATCAAGTCTAAATTACCTATTCTGTTGAATAAGATACTCTAAAATCTTCTCAAAAACCAAAAAACCAAAAAAAACCAAAGATCAATTAAAAAACCAAAGATCAATTAAAATACCAAAGAAAAATGAACTCAAATAAAGATTTAGAAAATGATGATTAACTTTTTCTTCTGCTTCAATACCTTTTAAAACTTCTTCTTTCTTTTCTTTTATCTTTCCATCTATCTAAGTATTTTCAAATAGATTGAATTATAAATCAGAAAGTGTCAATTAGATTATTAGATTAATTAAATCCAAAGAAACTGATTGGATGTGGTCAAGAGAGATATGAGGTCAAGAAGTAGTTGAGATCAGGTTAGGTCATGTCAAGAGAAGGATTGTTAACCTTGATGACCATTGTTTTATTCTCAAGTTTGTAGTATTTCCAATGAGATGATGAATTTTAGGAAATTGAAAGTGGGTAGTACTACATTGGTAAATGGTTTTTGAACAAGTTTTGATGATGAATGGTTTTTTTGATGATGACTAAAAAATGTGTGATGAATGATGATTAGTGAAAGAAGATGGTGATCTAGATTTCACATGGTTGATAGTTGGTGATAGGTAGTAGTTTAAAAGATCTAACAAGTTAGAGAAACTGATTAGCTGATCAAATCAATCGATCGAAGCCAATGCTGACTGAATCTCAAACTTGTCAGATCAATCAGTCAGATGGATTGGATCAAGATAAGAAGATCAACTTAAAAAGGAAATCAATCAATCCAACCAACCAACTCTTCCACTTATTTCCATTTTAAATCCACAATCCAATCAAATCAAACAAACAAACAAACATCAAATCAACTTAAATAAAAATCATTCAAATATCAACCAACCAACACATACATGCCTTTAATCCATCATCCATTACCATCATCACCACCAAACCATTCATCCATCACCATTCAATTAGATTCACCTGATTTAGTCTTAAGAGCCTTATCTGGAAATGAAGCATCAGGTCAATCAGCTTCATTAACTGGAACCGTTCAATTACAATTATCTGAATCAACTCATTTGAAAGATCTTTCATTAAACTTAAGATCGATTGCTAAGATCGATTATCTAGAACCGCTTAGTGGAAAACGATTTCATCATTTACATCCAATCTTTTTTCATCAATTTAGTTTTTTACCTTTTAATCTTAATAGCTCAGATTCAAATCATCATCAACCATCAAATCCTTCTACACCATCTCATCATGGATCTCAAAGTACGACAACTACTACAACTACAACTACTTATACTACCTTACAAGCTGGATTACATAGGTTTCCATTCTCGATCAACTTACCATCAGATCTACCAGCTAGTCTAAGAACTTATTCAGGTTCAGGTTTGATTTATTACAAGTTAAAAGCCATTGCAACTCGAGCAGGTTTCTTAACTCATTCTAAGTGGGAAACCAAACAAATCTTAAGAGTGGCTAGATCTTTTCCGGTCGAAGCAGTTGAATGGAATCAAACCTTGGAAATCGAAAATACTTGGCCTGGTAAGGTTTCTTATGAGATTTCTTTGCCTCATAAAGCTTTTGCGGCTGGTGATCGGATTCCAGTCAGTTTGAAATTCTCACCACTTATGAAAGGGGTTAGGGTCACTTCACTCGTTACTACTATTAAAGAACATGTGTAAGTTTGAAGTTTGAGATTCATCTTTTTTTTTGGTTTATGCAATTCAACTGATTTGAGATTCTTGGGTGGTTATTAGGGCTTTGGTGGGCAAAGCTGGAACTCCTCCTCATATTGAAAATCGAGATGTCGCACAATGTAGATTTGAATTCACTGATAAAAAAGCAGGAGGATCAGCCCCACTCTCAAGAGCCGATCCCAGTCAAACGTCCACAAACCCATCCAACTTACCTAGAAGACATTTATCTTCATCCGATTTAACTTTACTCACTTCTAGATTAAATGCCGTTTCGTTATCGAACAGAAGACCATCGTTTTCTACTTTACCTTCTCCTTCTAGAAGTGTGTTTGGGAATGCATCGAGTAGTACGACACCTTTAGCTGAACTAGCCCCTTCTGAAGAATTAAGGGCATCTCTTACAGCTGATGTAGAACTTTCACAAGATATAGATACGATCATTGAATTAACGATTCCTTCTTGGACTACACCTTCTCATTCATTACCACCTATCACTGTGACTCATAAACTTAAATTCAGTGCATTTATTATTAATCCAGATGGTCATACATCGGAATTGAGATGTGCATTACCTTTACATATCTTAGCTTCACATCTGGCTTCAGAAGCTTCGATCGCCTCGGCCGGTGCAAGAACTTTATTATTCGATCCTTCTGGTAATCTTTCTCAAGGGTTTAATCAATCTGTCGAATTACCTTCTTATCCTGAACATGTTAGAGACAGATTAGCATCACAAGAACAAACTCATCCCATGGCTTCTGTCATTCCAGCACCTTGGATCACATCTAATACGCCAGGTTCGACCCCGCCAGTCTCTAGACCTGCTTCGCCTTCGGCTTCTTCTACTTCTAATCAACAAGTCTTGGGGTATTTTCCCGAACCTGGATCGATCCCTAGTCCTTCTCCTGCTTGGACTCCATCACATGACACAGAATTCATTAGATCCTTAGACGCTTCACCTACTTATTTTAATCCGATCCATCAAACTCCTTTACACACTTCTAATAACAGTTCAAGAGCTTCTTCACCTGGTCTAGGCACCACCAATGAACCACCATCAGGATCAGGTTCGAGTTCAGGATTCAATGTTTCTCAACTTGCTACTTCTACTTCTTCTACTTCTTCGACTTCTTCTACAACTATTGGAAATGGATTCTTTCAAATTCATTTACCTAAAATTCCTCATAGGAATCGAGCTCCTAAAGCTTTGACGGCTATGAGAAATACAAATGGGTCGGGTCCTAGTAGTGCTTCTTCTTCTAATTTGGTCGCGGGTAATGGTCATGGTCATGCTCATTCGAGTAGTACTACTAGTCTTTCGGGATCCCTTCCTACTCCTGTTCCTGAAACTGAAAGAGAATTAATGTCTAGGTAAGTGTTTTTCTTTATTTGATTTCTACTTTTCTTTTTGATTTTTGATTTTTGATGTTTGATGGATTTTTGGGTTTGGTTTGTGGGGAGAATAGAGTACCTTCCTATTCTATTGCAAGTAGAGGTTCATTAGGTGGTGGACCAGTTCCAATAAGTTCTTTGATCGGTTTACCGTCTTATGAAGAATCTTCGGCTGCTATCAATTCTGTTTCCATCGATCATCATCTTCAAAGTAGAAGGAATAGTCTTTCTGATTCTTGAGAATCGGTTGGGATCTTGGTCTTTTTTTTTGGAATTATGGGAGAAATCTTTTTTGGGGCTGGGGTTGATTTTTTGGTGGGCGGGGGCATGCGTGTGGTGTGGTGTGCTGTGGGGGGTTTATGCTTGAAGTGGGTATGTATGGGAAGTTGGTGTCTTCTTGGCTGGTTTCTTTCTTTCTTTTCTTTCTTTCTTACTCGTTTGGGAGTACATATGTTTATATATTTTTTTCTTTGGGTCTTGGGAGTTTTTTTGCATCATTTTATTTTTTCTTTTTTGGTTTAGAAAAAAAGTTTTTAAAAATCATATGTAGAGAAGTTTTTTGGGTCTTTTTTGTTACATCATCATCATCATCATCATCATCATTAGAAGTTTATAAGTATAGATTTTTCATTTCTTTTTTTTTGGTTTTTTTTGGTATATTAGATATATATTATATCATTGAAGAAAAAAATGTAGAGTTTTTGTTTTTTTTTGGTTGCAACTTGAGGTTTTGATTTTCTTGGGGGTGTAGAACATAAGAAAAGAAATTGGGGATGGGTTTGGAGAAATGGTTTGGAGGTGGTTGGTTCTTTGGGGGTCTTGGAGTCTGAGAGTTTAGAGTTGGATTGGTTGGAAGATTTGTTGGATTATTGATCGGAAAGAAAGAATAACAGAAAGAAGGAAAGAAAGAAGGACAGAAAAGAAAAAAAGAAAAAAAGAAAAAAGAAAAATAGAAAAAAGTGAAAATAGAAAAGGTTTTTGGCCTTTTTGGGGCTCTTTGTATTATGAAATATATGTTGGAATTTGTAGGTTAAATCTTGGAACTGAAAAAGGATAAACAAAATCAAAGTTTTAGCAGTTTTTTTTATATGTATGTGTATGTAGTGTAAAAGTTTTGATTTTTTTTGGGATAAGTTGGAAATGTTTACTTCTTTGAAAGTGATTTTTATTTGAATTTATAAACCAGTTTGTTTAAATGAAAGAACTTGTGAAGTAAGAGAAAAAAACAAAAAGTTGAGGTGCTTGTTTTTTTTAAGTCTATTTCATCAGGGTGTGTTCACTTAAGGAATTCCTGACCACAAATTGGGGCTCAGTGGGCCTTTGGCAAAGAACTTTGTTTAAGGGCGCGTTCACTTAAGCAATTTCTGATGAGAAATCACATTCTGGAAAATTTCCAATGTATAAATGAAACATACAGCACCAAATAGACACTTTAAATTTTGCAGAATGTGATTGCTCACCAGAAATTGCTTAAGTGAACGCGCCCTAAGGGTTTCTTGAATTTGTGCATTTTGGTTTATTCAAGATGAGAATTTGAAAGAAGTAACTTCCAGAGTTTCTCTAAACACTTCTTGGAATGTGATGGGTGATCAGAGACTTCAATCAAATCAAATATCACAAGCTCATTCAAACTAGAAATAGCATATCCAAAAAAACGGAAGCTAAATAGTTCAAATTCACAAAGATTTGGACTATGTTATGAGATCATTGGATTCAAATGATGGTCTATGTAAATGGTCTTTTGTCGTTATTTGTTTGACCCCTTCAGTGTCTAGCTTAATTCTGTAGTGCTTGCCTGAAACCAAGAAAGAGATTCCAAAGAACCGGTATATGGAGGTTCAGCAGGTGCACAGGTCCTTTCTTTGATCCCAAAGGTATTTTATCTGTAGGGTAAGAAGTCATTGGCAGGTTGAAAAGCTCCGCAGCCAAAAGTTTCTTGCTCACACACCAAATTTCGTGGATTAAGCCATAAGTACCTCTTTTGCAGGCTTGTTTACCAAGAGGGAGTTTGTTAAGTTAGAACACAAACCCTCTAAAACGCTTCCCCAACAAAGTTTGGCTGAGCAACTGTGTTGGATTCCTTTGAGCTGATTCAAGGCTGACAGAGCAGTCAGCGTCCCTGGCCAGTTTTTGCTGGAATGGCATGTGAATGCCAGTTCAAGCTGCTTGTACACCTTCTGAGACAGTTTGGTCTGCTCCTTCAAGACCAGTGAGAAATTCATCTCTTTTTTTTGACTCTACAGAACCTTGAGGGACCCCCTACATCATAAGGGCACCACTGCAGATGCTCTTGGCTTTACTCTAGAGACAATCTGGACACACCTCAATTGAGTATTTGTCCCTTTCTTGTAATCAAATATGATCCCACATGTCCAGCTAAGTACTCAAACTTTCAGATTATTTTCCAAAGTGCTACACTTTGACTCAGTCTAGGAAAACCGTCTGAAGAAACTCCCAAAACACATGGATCATCTTCAAGAGATGAAGAAAGTATTTTTTATGGGAAAACAAAATGTTGAGATGGATTGAATCAAGGGTTCTCTGATTGAGCTCAAGTTAGAAACTGATGATCATATTTGTGGTTCTTGTTTTGGTAATGATTCTACTAGGTTCATTTAATAGAAGGTTTTGATGATTGTACATGGTGTAATTTTGAACTATTGTGCGGATGATGATGAGGAAAAAAACTCCAATGGGGTGCATCAGATTCAAAGAATGCTAAAGATACATTCCATCTAAGAGAAAAAAAGTACATTTTTTCGGATTTAGATGTATAGTTCCTCACAAGATATTGAGTTGAAAGCTATTCCTTGAGTGTTCAGAAAGTTTGGTGATGTAAATTGTTCTAAGGGACTGAAGAAAAATGCGGCAAGTCATTCAATTGGGCCATTGAGGTCGTAGTCAAGTGCCTGTTCCACAAATCAAAAACTTTAGTATTTCATCTCTAGATGTTTGATATCAAATATTGAATCCATTTAAATGCAATCTGTAAATACTGACCATCAACTCGTCAGGTTTGAATTTATCTGTGATATGACAATTCACCCCATGTAACTTGAAGCCATTGACAAGTTCCTCGTTCAAGGTGGTTTTCGACTTCGGATCACTACGAATGAAGATGAGATGTTTCAACTTAGGTGATGATGTCCAATTCTTAGCTCCAATCTTTTTCTTTTGTTTTTCCCATTGCCTTATTGTAACATCAAGGTCCACGATCAAGGTCCGAACATTACGCCATAACTGAGATGGGATCCGTAAGGTCTGAAAAACACAAAGTCGAGGCAAATCTATATAGAAAACTTCTTGTGGACGACGGCTTCCTGGGTTGATAGCAAATATACCTTCAAGTCTGTCCTGGATCGGTTCAAAGATCACCTCGGCTCCTTCGTCAGGTTCAGTAAGAAGTAAATAAGCAATCACTTTTAAAGTTTTTTTAGTTGTTTCACATATATTGGCCATACATTGAATATTTTCTTTTGTAATAGAAAAATAAAAGTATTTCAAATTTGGTAAGGCTTGAGGTTTTAAACATAATGGAATCGGATTTCTAAAATCCATGGTTAAATGTTCGAGATTTGGACAAGCAAGTAATAAATTAGAAAGTGATCTGATATTACAACTTTCAGGTGAAAATGTTTGAGATTTTTGTTTGATGCTTAATTTCTTTAAACCTTTGATGTGACTGATAGATGTTAATAACGATTGAGAAACCCCAGAGAGATATGTAAAATTTAAATCCAACTCAAATATATCTTGACCAAGTAAGTCGATCAATTGTGTCACCTGCTCCATCGATACAACGGTGAAGTCCAGTATCCCTATATTATCAAATATTTCATTCAGCTATGGATATTCAAATTGATCAAGATGAATGATTTGAAGGTACTTTACCATCTTCGCTATTTGAGGTTTCTTCCGGCTTCGGATAAATTAACTCGACATGAAGAGATCTGACCGAGCAAGCAAGAATTGGAGCGTAAACTGAGTATGACCAATTATCAATGATAGATTGCGCATCAATCTCATCCCGTAAGACAAGATTCCGAAAACAAATCGGTATTAGAAATTCTGCCCACTCTTTACAAACTAATCGTAAATTGTTGAGTTGAGATATTGACTTTTTTTCAAAATGAGCATTAGGATAAGCTAGGTCTGATATATGCGAACAGGTGTTCAATTCGGAAGCGAACGACTCTAAGATATGTGAGAGGATTTCGAAAGGCAAACGAGCAATGATCGGTTTGGCTATTGGCTGATCTGTTGTGATGTTCTCCATTTTCTTCGTTTTATCTTGAATGACTTGACAGGCGATGAGAGTCAAAGTGCAGATTCACAGGAATCCAAATCACGTTGTACAAGGAAAAAGGCACAAGCTAACTGAGACACCCGAGCTTGCGATGACTATGTAGGTGTCATGCTGGGAGTTACGTGGTCAGCTCCAGGGAAGCATATCTCTGTTGCTTCACTTGATCACCCAAAGATTGTGCACAATGAAATGCTATGAGACCTAGCTTAACACAAGCCCCTAACCCCCGCAGAGACGTCCCCCGGAGCCTGCGGAGGGGGGGCTTGCGACTTATCGGCAAATTTGGCCTGATACCAATTTTGATTTGGCTGGGACTATCTCCAGCTCGCATTTTGCCCATGTTGCATCAAACAAATCATACAAGCTTGCTCATTGAAGGATGTAGCCCTTATTTTTCTGCATCTTTTGCTCTCTTCAGATTTTTCATGGCACTCATGACTGCCTAGGAAATTTGATGTCTAGATTTATTTTTTATTAAAATTTTACATGTGATTCTGCTGCGATCACGGGTGTATTCAAGTGTATTCCCACATTTGACTGTGTACTTTTACGGTACTCAAAGCAACTATGTACGCGTACATATGTAGCTTTGAGTACCGCATTTAGAGCATCCGCACTCGTTTGCGGTTGTTAACTTGGTCACGTGCGGTAACAAACTCTACAGTAAGTAAAAAATTGCTTACCTCGACCAAATTTCACACTCGTTTGCATTAGCAGCATGGTAACTTGTGTAACTTTACGGATAATGCATGTACTCCACAACGGTCATGCAGTAAGATAACATTTTCATTTTCAAGTACAAACATCACTGTCCTCTGCTGTGCGCTGGAGGACTGATGGCATTTTTGAATTCTTCATTTACATAGATCCAAATCTACATACATCCAATATCATTGTGGTCGTCTACTTGATCAATAGATCTTGATTCAAAAAACCAAAGTCCTTGCGATTTTTTTCATCTACTCGATCTATAGATTTCAAGTTAAGAAGACAAAGGCTTTACAGTTACTATCTTGATAAACAATTAATGAATTTGAATATACATAATGATCTGGTAAAAGTTCTAAAGATTCAAAGCCAGGAGAGAAAAATGAACAATTTGAAGAATTTCAAGTCGATCGAGCTATTTTGAATCAAAAAACACAAAAAACACATGATTGTAAAAACATCCATCGGTGTTGAATGTTCTCAAATTGGTTCATGTGACTGTAAGGTTTGGAATTCATCAGGTGTTAAAGGTGAAACGGAGGTGTTGATTGTTGACTTTGATGATGGAGGTTGGGTTGAGGTTTGTTCTTCGAGTTGAAGTAGCTGGGTACCTTACCGACGGGGCCAGTGCGAGTGGACTTTGATAAGTTTGCGTGATGATTGGCTACCGCATGCGTTAGCCAATTGGTAAATTTACCAAATGGCTAACGCAAACCAATCAAAAATTAACTACCGCGGGGCTAATTTCTCACCAGTGTGGGAAAGGCCCCGCATTTGCGTTAAATTTTACCTTACCGCACCCGAGTTAACGCACGAGTGCGGATGCTCTTACATACCTCTTTGATAAACCATCCGCAGTGGTATGATTGATCTTGTCAAAATTACACTTTTTCAAAGAAACTTGAAGACAAGGCATCATTTTGAAGTCCTTTCAAGTTTGAGGGAGTATGTGTACAAGATGCAGAGGAAAAACTTGCCCTATTCAAACTTTTGATATCGACAATCGCGGCAAGGATAGTGTTGATTTTGACCAAAAATCGCTGAAAATCCCAAATTTGGATTTGGTATCAGGCCAAATTTGCCGATAAGTCGTAAGTCCCTCCTCCGCAAGCTCCGAAGGACGCGCGCGCTTTGAGGAGGGACTTAGTTAAGTTAGTATGAGACCTGTCTCCTTCCTGACTTGGAAGATTGCCTGGGAATTGGGTTTGGCACGGAGGTTTGGGACAAGACAAAGTTTTGGTTTTTGAGCAGACTGAATTGATTAACGCAAGACAGCCCCGGAGGGTCTGACCCTTGACTGTAAAACAACCGGAACCCGATGGGGTGGTCACTAACAACTAAGGTAAAAGAATATATCCCACAACTTGGGCGGGATGGCGGGAAACAAATTTTTATAAGTCTTAAAAACCGTATGACTAAGTTAAGAACAAGAGATTTAAGACTTGTTGATAATGGGATGGATGATACAACAAAAGAATAATAATTCTGTAGGAAGAAAATGAAGATCGTACAAAATCTTTTGAAGTAAATAGAAATGGTAAAGAGCCATGATGACATCACGCTGTGCTTGAATCAAGAATTAGTAAGATCTTCAATTTGGAAGAGGAGCCCGTCTTTCACAAAAATCATCTGTTTGTCTTTACAAAGCCAACTTCGCCTTCCTCTATTCCAATTCGTTAAAACCAGTTCCAACTACAATCACATCACGTTCATGTCCGTGAAGTTGAAACCACTTTCTCTCAACACAAACCAAACTCTTACCTTGCGTAAAAAATATGAGTTCATGACTACCAACCTTCACCACCAAAAAGATGCCTAGCGCCAAACAATTAATAATAATTTCATAAACTTGATTTCTCTAAACTAGCCACTTCACTCTCTTTAGTTTGATCACTTTGTTCAAACCCATTACCCCAAATCATTTCTTCTACTAGAGTTTCATGAGCAGGAAAACATAAATTTAGAGACGTATAAACTACAGAAGCCGTAAAGAATCCATATATCCAAGCCTGATGAAAAGAAAAAGAGAAAGAAATTCCAAAACCAGTGGTGAGTGATCCTTTGTGTGATCAAGTTTGAGGGAAGAATGGAAAGCTTACTATTGCATATAGATGTTGAGCACCACTGCTAATTTGAACTCCAGGAGCAGCACTATTAATAAGTCCTGGTAAATTAGGAGAAACTGATCACCAACATTGAAAATCATCAGTCCAATTGAAAACAATATAAATAAAATACAATGAAATAAAACTGACCAGATACTAAAAGAGTAATGATTGCTCTCCAATTAAACCCTTTATAATAATTATATCTTCCATTTGGTTTATATAATTCTGGGATATCTAATTTACCTTTTTTTACTATAAAGAAATCACAAATCATAATTGCAGAGAAAGGTCCTAAGAAAACTGTATAACCTGACATCTACATCACCAAAAGAAAGAAAGAGCTAGTTTCAGATAGATACTTCAAAAGAACATTTGATGTCTTGTTTTTCAAGACTTACAAAGTTCAAAAATCCAATGGAAGATTTCAAAATTTTCCAACTTGGAATTGCCCAACCACCAAAAAAAGCAATAAGAAATGAACCTCTTTTCAAATTAATATATTTAGGGGCAAGAGCTGTTAAATCATTTGCACCTGAAAGTGACTTAAAATCGTTCCAAATCCCCGCAAAAACAAAATCCAATGAGTAAGAAACAAAAGTAAATGAATGGATTAGAGGGTAAGCAATGAAGACTCTTACATTTGCACTTATATTAGTTCCAAGAGTAGCAATTAAAAAACAAAAACTTGCAGAGAAAATAGCTAATCTATTATTCCATTTATTAATTAATCTAAGTGGATCCCAAAGATCTAATAACAAAAAAACCCTATTAAGAAATTTCCTATTGTTGGAAAGAAAAAGTATATTATTAGGTGAAAAAGGACTTACATTCTTGATCGTATAGGACATAACCTGCTGATGCAACTACCATTCCTTGGAATGCGATTAGAGTAAAAGTTATTGGAATTATAAAGAGTTGTACATTCTGATTTTTAGGAGATTTTGCATAACGGGTAAAGTCTGGAACCTGGAATTAGATAAAGGAAAATATCAAGATATAGATAAAATCAAAAATCATGAGAGTAGCATTCTATCACTCACATTCACACTAAGAGTAGCCTATAGAATTTGAAAAGATAATCAGAAAGGAACAACAACTGTTCCACAGCAAAGAAGGGATGATACGAACATAATTTCCAATGGCAGCATTCATACCACTCAACCAACTAAAAGAAAACACATTCCCACTCAAACTAGAATGATGTTTAAAGATCTCTTTACCACCTTTAGTTAAAGCCCAAATAAACATGACCGAACCACAAATGGGGCATAAGATAGATTTGATGAGAAAGAAATGTCTTAATGATTTTTTGGTTGGTCCCATCATTACAAATGGTAATTGAATTAACCAAAAAATCAAATAACTTATAAATTGTGATGTAGTTATGTCTGATGAAACTGGTAAATGATTTGGTAATTTTGAAAATGATGGAAAGATTGATCTTATCTGAAAAGCAAAACAAAAAGAAAGGGTAAGATTGAGAGGTATCAAATTAAGAAAAAGGTTGATGTAAAGAAAAACTTACAATTTGGTATACACATTCTCCACCTGTGAAGGTTTGGATTGAGAACCAAAAGGCAGCTAGTATGACTCTAGATATAACTGGAAAATACGAAAACCAATATCCAAAGGAAGCTCGAGTCAAGACTAAACAAATGAAATCAAGCTTTAGCAACTTGTAAGATTTTATTCAGATGACATATGAGCTTACCAGAGAATGAAAGGTGCTAGAAACACAAGGTGCAGAAAATTCATGACGCCATAAGTATGCAGATGATCATTGTGGTGTTCATATCAAGCTAAGAGTTCTACACTCAACTGTTTTTGCGCCGATTGTGCCATTGATAGTGATTGGAATCGCAATCTGCAAAGAAACCAACAATCAGTCAAGATGAAGAGTTTTCAAATTCTGAAAGCTTTCAAACTGACGATAGTAAACCCAGTAGCAATGATAGGTATAGCTTGTCTAAACGAAAGACCATTACTAATCATACTAGAACCCATATCCCAAACTGCTACCCTGTTCTCAACCGATCAATTCAAGATATGATTCTTATCAGTCATACTTGCCTTCTTATTCTTTAGAGGTGATCGAGAAGCTTTGAGAGATCAGAGAGTTTACTAACGAAAATCCATCACTTATCCAATATACGATACTGAAAACCCCATCCAACAAGAAAACCGGTCAAGTTGAGTCAGGTCAACAAAAAAGAGGTAGATAAATTAAAAGTGACTAACTAATCTTTTGTACTCCATGTTCGTTTTTCTTCTGGTACAGGATCCTATCATACCACAACCATATAATAAGTACAATAAATTTCTACTTGACTTCAAATGAAAATGAGATTAAAGGAAAATATAAACGGTTACGTACCAGATCTGGATTAGAATTATAAGAACCTTTTGGTACCACTGAAGATTTGGTCGAAGGTTTCAAAACCAAATCAAATCTATTATTCTTTAGTTTCATTTTCTTATTATCCTTTTTTCGTTTTATTTTTTGATACTTCGATTAAAGGATCCAAGAGGTTTCTTCTACGATTATGCAGAAGTTAATGAAATAGATAAGTGAACAGTAGGCAAGATGTTTTAGCTTTCCTTGTTTTCAATTGAAGTTCTTTATCAATTGAAGAAATATCAATCTATGTATGCGATCTAAAGAATACGATAAGCGATGGACAGAGTTTCAAGTTGCTGTGATTAGATATGAACTAATTATCAATTTGCAAGAGCTGATTGGGTTCCTCCTTGGAAAGGAGTATTAATATAAATTTGAGTGTTGACTTAAAGTTATACCCCTCCTCATGTCTCTCTTACCTTGAAACTTTTTTGGTAGATCACAAAATGAATTGAATTTCTGTCAAAAGACTTTCTTTTTTCACAGAGAAGATCAATCCTTTATCTTAGTTTGACTCCAGTTTTTATGCTGTGTCATAAGATAGTCTTTATGATGATCAAACACGTGTATCTAACGTAACTTAAGTTTGCAACGCTACAATTCCAAAAACCTTGCTTATCAGGAGAAGCAGGTTTTGGTCTGGCTGTTTCATCGCCTAATTGCATATGATTTGACGCTGAGGAGAACACAACATAAGCTCATGAGCGTGCAATAAGAAGGATGATTTGATTGTCATCATGTTAAAGTCCCTCTCGGCGTCTCGCAGGCTCGCTCGCCGAGAGGGACTTTGTTAGGTTAGAGGGAGCTCAGGTCAAGCAATTTTGCAGCGTTAACCGTAAAAAAGGAATCCCAATTTCAATTTTTCGCCTAAATTTTATGGAATCAGGATTTGTTATTGCTTTTTGAATCAAGTGTGAGTCGAGAACAATGAAGTCTTCAGATGATGAGGAATATAACAACGATGATAATGGATTGCATGAGCAATCGGCTCATAACTAGTAACAAGGAATCTACGAGAAATGATTTCTTTGGTATTTTTAGCTCACATTCAAGGGGTCTTAAACCTGATAAGTAAACAATCTGTAGGATTGCTGCTTTGCCCAAGAAGTAATCAATCTGTAGTAAATAGTCACTTTTCATCACCAGGTTTAACTTTGAGGGACCCTCTGACTTGTTATTCTTAATTACCTGGTGATGTACAGTCAGTGACAAAAAGTTTACGTACCTCGACTACATATGTAATAGTGCAGTGAGGTCTATGAGTGTTTTTGTCCTCGAGCATCTTCTCTATACCAACCCCGAACCTCTTAGAAAATGAAGACCTGCACCCTTTCTCCCACCCGAAAGGCTTCCATCGTTTACATGCACCAAATTGGCATTCCTGGCACTCAAATTGCTAAAAAACTAGGCCATCCCAAGTCTACTGTCTACACGGTCATCTACAATGACCGTAAAAAACGCGTATCAACGACCTCAAAAACACTCGGAAGACCGAAGAAATTCTCAGAACGTGATCAGCGAACTTTGAAGCGAATTTTAAAAAAAAACCGACGCGCTTCAGCTGCCTGGATCGCTAGCAAACTACCAATTAAAGCAAGTCTTCAAACGATCCGATCAGAAATTTGAAGACTTGGGTTTAACTCTCGAGTGGCAGTAGTCAAGCCTTATCTCAAGAGCCAACACATTCTAAGGCGTCTTCAGTTTGCTAAACAGTACAAAGATTGGACTTACAATGATTGGAAGAAGGTCATATGGACCAATGAGTCGTCTTTTGAAATAGGAAAGCCTGCAAAGAAGGTTCGGGTGTGGCGTAAGCCCGGTGAAAAATACAACCAAGATTGTTTAGCACCAAGTTTCAAGAGTGGACGAACTTCGGTAATGATCTGGGGCGCATTCACAGCCGAAATTCGCTTGCCGATGACCATAATGCCCCCAGGACGTCGATCTGGACCCGATTTTGTCGATTTGATCTATCGACGCATCATCGAACCATTTATCAGCTCACCTAATTGTCCACGCGATCTTATCTTGATGGAGGATGGAGCCCCGGTACACACAAGTAAAGTGGAAAAAGAATGGAGAGATCAACATTCAATTACAAAGTTAAATTGGCCAGCAAACAGTCCAGACTTGAACCCGATTGAGAACCTCTGGAACATAATGAAAAGGAATGTTTCTGAAAAACATCAGCCTCGCACACCTCAAGAAATGTGTGAAGCCCTGTTTACCAAGTGGAAAGCAATCCCTCAGAGCAAGCTTCAAGCTTTGGTTGAATCCATGCCTGATCGGATCAAGGCTGTGATCAAGGCAAAGGGTAGACACACTCGCTGGTAAAAATTGTTGTATTCTAGAGTCTACATTACAATTACACATCCTGAAATTTGATCATAGATACTCTGACGAGTGGCCATCTAGACCGTGTGCTTTAAGGTATAGAAGTACATGAGATGTTGAGTACAATATGCTTCTTGAGAGTTGCCAAATCGGTCAGTTATAGTACAGGTACGTAAACTTTTTGTCACTGACTGTACATATATGTGAGTACCTAATCATTTTTGCTTCAAACCTCTTTCTGTCTGCTTCAATCATAAAAATAATACATTCATCATTTACAACCAACTTTCCAACACAATTACACTTCTTAGATATCCCAACACAAAAACACATTCACTCTGCCATGATAATCAATCAACAAAAAAGAAAAACTGACGACGATGATAAGAAAAAGAAAGACGAGTTAAGAAACAAAATAACAAACAAAAAGCAAGTCTCCATTCGATTTTTTCTTCGGTAAAACATACAGGAAAGTTTACAATTTCAAGATTCAAAGACTACTAAATCTTGTCCTTCACTTACCATACCACCTAATTGAGCTTTAATTTCTTGAACAACTCCATCTCTTGGAGATTTCAAAACAACCTAACAAATCCAACCCAAAGAATTCATCAAAACGCATTTTGAAGTTTTCAAGAAACAAGTGAAATCGTTTAGAGACTCACCTCAGTTTTCATAGCTTCAAGAATGATCAACTCATCACCTACTGCCACTTTATCTCCTTTTTTCACCATGACTTTGATGACTTTAGAAGGCATCAAAGCTCTAACGGTTCCTTCTTTTCCTTCTTTGGTGTTTTGAATTCCTTGAATTGATTCAAACCATTTAGGCCAAGGAGAAATCAATTGAGTAACACCTTCATTTGAAAATAAATGATGTTTGATTGAAAAGTTGGATACACCAAGACTAGGTTGTGAAACATGAGTTGAGCTGGTGACTTTATCTTCAATGGTTGTTTCGAATCTTCTTGCATTCGGATGTGATTCAGATGAAGGGAAAAGTGTAGCTTGAGCTACGGTTTTTTCTCCTTCATGAGGTCCATCATTGATAGTGACAGAAAACCCAGGTTGTCCAGACCGAATCTCTACTTCTACTCTTGTAGGTTTCGCAGAAGAAGTTGTAGATGTATCTTCAGGAACAATGGAGAATTCATAAGTTTGTCGAGATCCACCACCACACATTCTCCAACCATACAAACTATCCCAAGGAGAACCAGATGAAGATCGTTTTCTTTCAATTTCATTAGAAGCTAAAAAAACTCCAGTCTTGATTAGATCAGTTTTGGAAACTGATGTTGGTAATTCTGGAAATAAATCTGTTTTGTATTTTTCAATAAATCCAGTTTCGACTTCTCCTTTCATAAAAGCTGGATGAAAACTTAGGTTTTTTAAAAACTCAATGTTTGTTGAAGGTCCTACGATTTCATACTGGTGTAATTTTTCATTTAATAAACGAAGTGCTGTTGTACGATCTTTTGGTGAATGGACGACTAATTTTGCAATCATCGGGTCATAGTAAACTGAAAAAAGTAAAGACAGAAAGTTGTGAGCGTGGGGTACATTGATAAATCTAAGACTTCCTGGCATACTGAGGAAATCAACTGACCACTAATCTCATCGCCTACATCTACACCCGTTTCTACCCTCACAGACTCGTTCTCTTGCGGCGTCGAAAGATGCAAGAGTTTCCCAACATCTGGCAAGAAATTCCTACATAGTTCAAGTGTTATAGACTTTTGACTGTACAACTTTTGATAAGAAAAAATTACTAACCTACGAGGGTTTTCAGCATAAATCCTAGCTTCAAATGCATGTCCATTACAAGGAATTTCATTTTGCTTTAATGGAATCTTATTTCCAGATGCAATTTCAAGTTGCCATTGAACTAAATCTTGTCCTGTAATCATTTCAGTGATCGGGTGCTGAGTAGATTCAGTAGTGGAAAAGTCAATAAAAAGCCAATTAAGTACGTATGATTAAGAAACGTACTTCGACTTGTAACCTTTTTTGTACATGAATCATGTCAGTCTTTGCAACCCTTGATAACCACAGTGAGGAAAAATGAAATACCTTGTATTCATCTCCATATAATAAAATTTTCCATCAGAATCCAGTATGAACTGAACAAAACATCCGATTCAGCCGTGAAGTCCGAGTTGTACAAAAAAAGAAACAAGATTATACTCACTTCAACTGTTCCAGCTCCAACATATCCAACAGCTTTAGCAGCTGCCACTGCTTTTGCACCTAGCTCTGCCCTTAATTCAGATGATAAACCAGGTGCTGGTGCTTCTTCAATGATCTTTTGGTGTCTACGTTGAACTGAACAATCACGTTCATACAAATGTACATAATTGCCATGTTGATCTCCAAAACTATCAACGTAACACATTAGCAAGCGTTTCATCGTTCATTAACGTTGATGACTCACACCTGTACTTCTACATGTCGAGGATTAAGCAGATATTTCTCTAGAAGAACCTAAGAAAATTTTTTATCAGCTGTCTTCAAACCTACATGGTAATCCAAGAGGATGCAACCGGAGTATACGAAATTTAACACACAGTCCCATCACCAAAACTCTGTTGTCCTTCTCTTTGAGCACTTTCAAGTTGATTTTCAAATTCCGATTCTTGGAAAACGATTTTCATTCCTTTTCCACCACCACCTTTGATTGCTTTAATCAGAACAGGATAACCTATCTTTCTTGCTTCTTCTTTTAAAAAGTTTGGGTCTTGATTTTCACCATGATAACCAGGTACACATGGTACATTTGCATTGATCATGATCTGTGATGTTCGATTGAAAAGGTGTGTATCAGATCATATCCCTCGGGGAAGCTGTGATAAAAAGGGTCGACTAACCTCCTTGGATTCGCTCTTAGAGCCCATACTTATAATAGCAGAACTAGGTGGACCAATAAAAGTGATTCCTGCCGATTTTAATTTTTCGGCAAATTCCGCACGCTCTACCACGTTTAAGATTTTGAGTAATTGTCTTGCTTTTGAAGTAAACATATTCTTGCTGACCTGAAAGAAATCCCCAACCGGGATGAACCGCCTGTACCACAATCGTATGAGAGTTTACTTATCAGTTTAAAGTCATGAAAAGTCTCAAGGAATTCCAATTACCTGTGCACCACTTCTGATACATAACTGAACGATTTTGTCCATGTTCAAGTAACTTTGAGTGGAAGGAGCTGGTCCGACCAAATAAGCTTCATCGGCCTAATATTCCCATAACACCAAATTTAAGCCGATGAGTATTTTGTGTACAGTTGACTGAATGCAAAAGATTATGCTAACTAATTTGACATGACGCGAATGTCGATCGATTTCCGAATAGATAGCAACAGTTTGAACTCCCAGCTTCCTCGCTGTTTTAATCACCCTACAAGCTACTTCACCTCTAACAAAAGATATGATACCTAAGTCTTTTATTCTAGTCTCATTATCTTGGAATTGACTAACCTGTTGGCAATAAGAATTTTATCAAACAGAGCTTTTCGTGTTGTGCTGTTGGATATCACTATTACAAATATGTCTGATTAGAAAGCATTCTCTTCTTGTAACAAATGTGACATCGTGTTTCAATGAAGGAAGGACCACGTCAAATAAGTGAATGGATCCTGATCAGACTCACTAGTATCGGAGTGAGCACTTTGACCTCCAGTTTGCATAAACCTGACCCGAATTCGAGTCGAAGCATAGATCGGACCATGGCTGATGAGATTGTTTGAGGGGAAAGATGATTTTCTGGTCCCTTTTAAAGATGATAAAATCATTTGGTTCTTCAGTATCTGGATTTCTAATCACAGTACGAGTGAGAAATATATATATTGATTGTTTCGACTTCCAGAGCCAAGTGAACTCAATGAGTAACCTTGGGTTTGGGTAAAGATATTCTTTGATTTTGAACTGAAATCAACCAATGATATGTTTGAGTAAGAGCTTGGTTGAATTTGTTTGATCGATTTGATTTGATATTGATGAGGAAGTAGAACCAGATGACTTGGTCATGTGGTACAATGTTCTATAACGATTTCTTCGATTGCAATGACGTCGATTGACTTGAGCACATCCTAGTCTGACCCGGTACCGTGATTCGCTCATAGTCGATTCGGACACGGTCCAGGGTTCTGCCTTGAAAATGCAAGGGGTGTGGGACCAAGTCGAGGACGCCCTCAGCATTTTCAACCATCACATTCGAACATCGCACGGGAATCGCACCCTCTTCCAACAGCCATCTACGCTTATATTCCTTTGCTTGGCGCAAACTTAACTAAGTCCAACTCGCGTGGCCCCGTCGGTACAGGTACCACGTACCTCCGAGCGCCAGCGAGGGACTTACGCCTAATCCCAATATTCAAGCGTGAGATCAGGGAGGGCTTTTGCCCAAAATCTCCTGTCGCACCTGCACTCTCTGTTTCATTATCAACGCGCGGTGAGCGTATAATAAAAATTGGGCGCACCCCTGCTGTCTATCATTTGGCACTCTACATGGCTCATCGGCCCTAAAACTGAGAACAGCATGAGCTCAAATTCACTTGGCGCAATCACCGGGGCCACGTTTGTCTACATGTGTTCCAAACGCTGCGCGTCCAAAAGGTTTTGATCACGACGGAATTTAACTACAGTCCAAACTGCAGTTTGGGATAGGGCACGTTACTCAAAATAATGCATTCATTCCACAAGATAGAAAGTTTCCTCCAGGAGAGAAGCTGGCATTGTCGAATCAGTATTGACAAATGGCCATAGTTTTTGGTAATGTTGTATCACGTACCATGTTTGCCTAGGTGAGACCAACTGCCATCAGACAGAGAATTCAGGCGAGCTTCCAAGTTCGTCGATGTTGATGCGAAGCTCGTCTGCCTGAGAGGTTATGCACGATATCATTAATACCAGGTCATAGACGTGATAATAGCAAGAAATGCCTGACCTGTTCCTGAATAAACTCGCGCCAGACAGTGTCGCCATCTCCTGCGTCATAGATACATCCCCGTATGCTCATCAAGATATTTCGGATCAATAGGCGCGACTGGCGAGTATTACCTCAAAGGTCGTGTCGCTGGGGTCGTCGGCGAAGGAAACGATGATCGAGGAAATTGAAGATGAACCCCCATCACCTGTGGCTACCCGACGGCCCCGACATACTCCCTACATATAGACGGACCTTGAAGCCGGAGGACCTCCGTTATTGCGCATGCAGACATAACAGACGGATCAGACCTCCCCCTATTACACCTTTTTTCAACATTTCTCTCAAGGAGAAGGGGTTTTATGCTTTTCAGATCCCTTTGATCATCACAAAACCAACCTGAGAAATTTTTTGAATTTTCAATCAAATGAAGTCAAAAATTGCAAGGTAGCAGACATGTCTGCATCCATCAGACATGTCTGCACCTATATGTAAGTCAGACATGTCTGTGTATGTAAATCAGACATGTCTGTGTATGTAAATCAGACATGTCTGCACACTTCGCCCGTCAGACGTGTCTGCAAGCTGCACAACAGACATGTCTGCGACCCAGAGATCAGACATGTCTGCCATCTAGAGATCAGACATGTCTGCAATCTAGAGATCAGACATGTCTGCACACTTCACTCATCAGACGTGTCTGCGCGCTGCACAACAGACATGTCTGCGATCTAAAGATCAAACATGTCTACACTCTGTCTATCCTCGCCTGTAATTCAGACATGTCTGTAGCAGACATCTCACACCAGATATACGACCAAATCGGCATGAAGAGGAGGTTGTCACATTGCTTCAATCCTGATCACTGATATGTAGTCGCTCACATGCTTCTCCTAAAGGATACTCATATTGTGTGATTCATCTTCCGAGAGGTCCTGTTTATTGCTTCGCTCCAATTGACCACTCACTCCCGCCCTATACAAGTCTGCCAAATCGGTATATTAGAATCAACTTTGCTCTCATTGGTCACTCCTGTAAGTACAAAAGGCTACCAAGTCTCTGCATTAGAAATAATCTTGTACGTCACAAATCACATCTTGCACCTACAATAGTGTCTCACATGTGAACTTATAAGATGATATTGTCTTACTATTCTATGTGGTACTCTATCATCACTCATTGTCTTTGGCGTTACTTTTTCCGTGAGATTAGAAAACCTTTATAAAACTTGTTTTTAGTTTGGCCTACACATCCCTTAGAGGGTCTTCATAAATTTTGTTTTCAAATTCATCGAGACACCCCTTATCATTCCAGAATGGATCGATTCGAAAGCTTAAAATGAACAAATGACTCAATTAAATCAGATGTTGAGAGCAAGGACTGTATACATACAAAGTAAGAGTTAATTTTGTTTGAATAGGGCAAGGAAGACTGTATGGACAAAAACCGGTACTAGCCACACTTGTTTGGGTGTATCATCACCGTAGGTTTTCCCAGGAAACCTACATACAACCTACAACCAATGGTATAGGTCAGAAGGTCTTGCCTGTTATGTCAGGCAGCCGGAAAACCCATACCTCGGTCAACCAGCACGTGGCCTCGAATGGCCCTGACACACTTCACCCACCTCATTATTGACCCTGCCTGTGCTATGTATCAAATTACTCATTATTCAAGCAAACTTAACTAAGTCGTTATTCAAATTAAATTTAACAATTCTTTCCTATTCAAATTAAATTTAACAATTCTTTCCTCTTGCTTCCTCTTGATCCCCATCTCCCCATACCGACTACTCCTCCCATTCCAAATATCATCCCTATATTCTCACCAATACCATGCGGTCCACTCGATCCCAGAAAGCCGTCAATGCGGCACCCAACTCTAGTCTCCAACCTAAATCAGCCCCAGCCGCCAGTCAGAAGAAAAAACCCCGAGCTGTCCGATTGCGCAAGCGTGTCCGCCACAATTCTGACGACTCTGATCTCGATGACTCTGCCGAAGATACCAACAACACCAGAGCTCAAGATCCCTCTCCTGTCATCACCCAATCCATTTCCAACTCAACCCAACCACACTCTTCCTTGCTTGACATCTCATCTGACGACACCAACGAGCTTCCAACCGTTGAAAACTACAATACCGAGGAGATGATGAAAAGATGGACTCCCTCACGTTGTAAGGAAAGACTTTCCCTCAAGTTCAAAGGTCGCGCTTCAAAAGACGGTAAAGAGGAAATTAAGGCATTGATCCGTAAGTACGAGCACTTGAAGATGATGATGGCGTTGGCATTAAGATGTAGCTTACGCACAGTAAACAAACAGTAAGTCACTTTGCCCATTCTACCTGATTCACACTCCTCATTTCACTTTTGGACTGTTTTTTAGAGTTGCTGCTCCCAAAAAGCAAGGTCAGAGTGCATACCTTTACTTCCGAATATTTGGCAAACAATCACATACCGATCCCAGTAAGTTGTTTTGTCTACTTTTGTGTATTACATTTCATAGAAACTAACAACTGTCTTGTTTGACATGCAGTGCCTCACCCTGATGACGACGATATTACAGAGAAGCTGGGTAGCTATAATCGAGCCACTGGTGACAACTGGTCTGAGCTCAATGCTGATCAAAAAGCAATTTTCGAGCATTCCATGCTTCTTGCATTGGCTGGGGTACCCGATCTTGCTGCAGACCATGTTGAGGATGATGACGATGACCAAGCGCAAGGTGATACCGAGGTACTTGTCCCTGAAGTGACTCAGCGAACCGAAGAGGAAGAAGCCCGCTACCGACCGATCTACGACGAATTAGTTAACCACGATAAGGTTGTCGCCAGATTTGGTGTGTCTATTCCAGGAATGACGGATGCGACGTTCACTCGGCGATCTCTACGATGCATTCAAAAGTACCAGCGTGATGTAAGTATTATTTTCCATATTCGTTATACTCCTTGTTAAGATTGTTACAAAACTAAACAAAGGCCCCTTATGTCTCTTTTGTTCACCAGCTTATTGCAGATTCTCACCGCCACGAATTTGACTTTTGGCTAGTCGCATCGAGCTCAGTTCCTCCTCTCCAACCTGGTACTTTGACATGGTGCAAAGTTACCACGACTCTCCCTGTCATGACAAAATGGGTCACACAAAAGGCCAATTTCCCTACAATCTTTGGTGCAGTATCTCAAGGAACATCGCTTATCCAGGCTGTATCGCAAGCCACCGGCTCTCATGTCATCAAGTCGCAACCTCGAAAGAATAAATCTGATTGTGAAAAGGTCGCTCTTGGACAGGAGTTGGTTAGATTATTAAGTAAGGAGTTTGATTCTCGCTCCTCCTTGTTTTCCCCATCTTATTCATTCCACTCTTGGCTTTGAATCTCATTTCAGCTGCTACCATTGGCGAGAAGCCGAGAGGCTTGCCCCGCGGTCCTAATATCGACAAGTCTTTGGCCTCAAGAAAAGACAAACCTGTACGCATAGTACAGCTTCCCGGCTCCACTCTGACAGCGGAGGACTTAGCTAAAGGCTTTGTCGAGATGAATGCGGCTGGTCGAAGGCGTTGGCAGCACGATATTGACGCCAATCTTTTTCAATTTCAATTGATTCATAAGGATAAGGATGCGTGCAGGGAGACTGAAGATGGTAGGCCTGTTGATGATGAGATTGATGAATCTTCAAGAGGAAATGGTGATGATGAGGATAGTGGAGGTGAAAAAGCTCGAGGAAGTGCTGACGAAGATAGTGATGGTGGAGGTGAAGAAGTTGGAATTTAATCAGGTTTAATGATTATGTGTAGCTGAATAGGACTTGGCTATCTTTTCTCATGGTTAGGACTTGGCTATCTTTTCTCATGGTTAGGACTTGGCTATCTTTTCTCATGGTACGCGATGTACCTGTTCCTATGGCTATGGTAACATTCCTTTTATTGATTTGTTTGTGTTGTTTGTGTTTTATCAAATATGTCATCGTAAACTTTCACTTTGAATTTCATGTCTGCTTGTTGAGAAGTTCTCACTGATCAAATTGTGACACTTGTGATTTGAATGAATTATGTAATGTTTCCGTCGATTTGTAAGTCATCTACTGGTTGAAAAAAATCATTGAAAAAAATAGTGTAGGCTGCAAATTCACCAGTTAGAATCAGCAATTGTAAGATTTGGTTGTTCACCAACACCTTCCAAGATTGTTTTCAAATTTTTATCTTGTAATCAACTCAAATAAGAATCCAAGTTGCATTACTGTCTGAAGTTATGTCTGGATTCCACAAACCACTTCATCTAATGATACAACATCTAATAATACAAACTTTACCAGTGCGTAATCAGTTTTTTGAGAGTCATAACTCGTGAATTATCATCAATGATAATTATGAGAGTCATAACTCGTGAATTATCATCAATGATAATTATAAGGTATAAGTCATGTCTAAAAAAATTGCTTATTTCTACAAGAAGTGGTGACTAGTCATATTTTATGCCTGTTCAAAGTTGCAAATGCACCCTTCAAGGGTGCAAGTGAACTGAGTATCCTTGTACTTTTCCAACCATTAACACTCATGTGATGTGCGCCTGATATTATGGGTGTTGTACGAATGTTGACATTTTAACTGTGCTAGATTGAAAGTTTGCTCGCTGGTTTGCAGTGATCAATTCAAACTCATGACAAGTTGAGAATAGGTTTGTTTGAAAGCTTTGAAAGGACACAATTGGTAAGCACCAAATTCGTGGTTGAACTTGTTTGATATTTCTCAATCATGAGTACAATTGGGAATTGTCAATCATACTCATGATATTGTTTGTGTGTGTGTGTTGAAAACCTGAAAACTTCATCGGAGTTTGAGACTTATGAGCTTATTGAAGTCAATTACGTGGCTGCTTATTTCTATCTTGACTCGATTCCCGAAAAGCAAAGGTTTTGGACATAATGCACCGGTGTCATAATGAATATTTGTTTAATACTTTTGGTTTATATATCCATTGATGAATGCTAACAGTACAAATAAGATATAAACCGAAGAAGATTGGTTGTTTGATCTCGACTGAAAAGAAACATATCAATCAAAAGAAGATGAGTTAGTTTTATTCATAAGATAGAGAGTTAAAGGTTATAAATTTACCAGACTAATGCAATATTTTGGATAACTTGGTTGGGACACCAATGGTACTAGTAGTGTGAATGAAAGATAGATTAAGATTGAATAGATTGAAGATATCTAATAAAGTGCGAAATTATAAACCAGTTTCAATGATCATCAAATCCTGAACAGCAAAACATGATAAAATCTGGAATCAATTGTTCGAGAATGGAGAAGCAAAGACTTCCTCATCCATCATCGAAGTGAAGTACTTCCACACATCCTAAAATTGTGAATACGTGGTTTTTTGGGAGTTGTTGATTGTCAGAGAGCCAAAAGTCATGAGTTTTGGCTCTCAAGATCAAAGTAATCAAGTGACTAAAGTTGAACATAGTCAAATTGTTCAAGAACAAAAAGCAATAACTTTCCTCATCCGTCAACATCATCACTTATAATTGTTTGAAAAGTATTGTAATACTTTTCTATTGTTGATTGTTCAAAATTAAAAGGTTATAACTTTTGGCACTCGAAATAAAACATAAACGTTTATAATTAAAGTGAGCGAAGTTAAACACAGATGAGCTAATACAGATTATAGATATTTCTCATGTCAATATGATGATCAGGAGATTAGGAGAAGTTGATCACAGGATGATCATGTAATCAAGAAATTGCACCGGTGAGAAATTGTACCTGATGATATTCTCTCCACTGCATGACTCCACTCAAGTCATCATCAACCACAGTTTCAGAGAATTCAAAAGAATAGAACATTTGTGTAAAATTGCAGAAAAAAAAAATTTAAATATAGGTATGGATGGTATTAATCACCGAGTATTCCAAAACCAAGAGTACAAAAAATTGCAACTGTGATCTTATTGATTCACATATAATGAACAATGTGTTACAACAATAGAGTAATCGATCACACACAACAAGCCAGTGCTCAATACTGTCCTATATCATCTCTTTCATCATTCCCGCCAACCTCATCCTCTTCATATCCATCATCATCGTTGTCTGGAGTCTCATCAGCTGCACCATCACCAATAAAAAACTGCTGTTCTAATATTTCGTCCTGATCCAATGCTTCAGCAGTGAACATAGGTCCTTTGACCATACCCTCCCAGACTTCTACAGAATTCAAAAGGATTTCCTGCCACGATTTTAGTAATGTGTGATCAGATTCTGTGGTAGTATCAGAATATTGCTGTGTTTTGAGTAGAAGAGTGGGAATGTGAGATTGCCAAACCATCCAAGTCCGACATTCTTTCTGGAGAAGATTTTTGTGTAGGACCTTCAACACGGTCATGCTTTCATCATGTAATTTCCGGGATACCAAGTTGCTTTGATGCACTAGCTTGATTGGTTGACTTCGATTTGGACAGAGGGGATCCCAACCTAAAAGACATGTAATCAAATTTTCAAATATGTAAAATCAAAAGAAAATCACATATCAACTTACACCGAGTTGTCATAATACTTAGAGCTCTAAGGTGATTGTAGCTCTGTACAGCGGAGCGCATCATGGCGCAAATCTCGTGAGCGACTCGACGCAGTTCTTCTTGACAACTCCTTTCTGTCAAGAAGGCTTCGATGCCAATTCGAGTAAGTCTGTCATTCACCCAAGGCTCGTTTGGGTGGGTGAGGTTGCCAATATTCCAAAACTCGTCTTCAATCATATAGCCTTTGACCGTTTGAAGAGTAGGTAGTGGTAGGCGCTGCTGCCTATGCGGACAGGCTGTGTTGAACTTCTTGACTTGTCGGATGTAAGCCATATACTTTTGTTGAAAGGCCTTCTGTTTACCTCGCATTAGATCTTTATATCGCTGCTGAGACCGGGTTCCTGAGAGTACCAGTCTAAATAAACAATAAACCAAGAAGGCCACAGGACACCTACCTTGGCGGGGCTCGTCCCAATCACGCTGCAATTCAATGATTCCAACTTTTGCTTCGTAAAGTTTCCCTTTCGCCACTCGGACTCGTACTATTGCACGGGCTTGAGGATCTATCCGATAAGTAGCACGTGTCAAAATCTACTATGCAAACATGTCAACACAGAAGATCTGCTTACCTTTGACTGCAGGATGATTCTTGAACTCATCCCCACCAAGCTCGCACGCGACCTCCTCCATTGCATTCTCAATCAGGAGTATTGAGGATGGTAGATCGTCAAGCTCAGCAACATCACTTGCTGATCTTTGATTACGCCTTTTAGAGCGAATCGCGGTGACTTTGACACTGCACAAAAAGAGAGTAAGTAACAGTCATTTCGTAGGAGGGGAGATGAAGGTAATGATACTCACTGCGCAGAATGTAATTGTTCTTCAAGGTCAATAAGCCGAGCTAAAGTTTTTTCAAGACGAGCAGAAGTATTGTCTGTCGAGAAAGCAAGTAGGCAAGTTCGTTTTCTCTCCCACTGGTCCGCAAAATACTCGCGAGGTTGAGCATTGGGTCCTTGATTGAGTTGAGCTAGGGTTTGCTGTGCAATCCTGATATCTGATTCGTGTTTAGTCAGTTTGTGTGCTGCTGAGCGTGCTGAAACATCAGGGATAGGAATGTATTTCTTTGTCAGACACATAGTTTTGTAAGATGATAGCACAGTGAGACAAACCTGCATTGATCCGACAGAGCTCATTTATATGGAGAGCTAGTAAGTTCAAGGCATCCAGTCGATGTTGTTTGGATGAATAACGGAGATAACTGATGAGCGGTGACAGACGCCGCCATATTTGTTCCAGACCTTCACCATCAGACCTCCCAAATCCCTTCTGAAGCCGTGGATTATACTTCAGTTGACATGAGTATATGTGCACCAAAGCATGCCATGCGCTGGTTCCAACTTTCAGCTGACCATTCGCACGTTCTTGTTGAAACAGATTGTGCTAGAATTTGATCGATCCACGATGAGCTTCAACTACAGGTCAATGGGAAATGAAATATACAAACCTTGATGATACCCTTCTCTAGATTACAACCAATGTCGTATAAGATTCCGACTCGCTTTGGATCACTCTGATCCTCGTTGGTCTTTGAAAGGAAGTTGGCTAACATAGCATGGACAAAATAAGCTCTGACACGCATTAAGCGAGTCAATTGAGAACATCAGTGATCTTCCGTAGTGTAACTTTAAGAGTGTGAGAAGGATATAGTAAGATTACACACTTCTCCCCGCTCTGTACAATATTGACAAAGGACAGGCAGTGGTCGTGCCTACACGCCATTCCTAGCAATCCTGACTCATCAGACCCTTTGAAAGATGAAGCATTGCGTGTGTCGTCAGCGGCGGTGTGTGATGCAGAACACACATCCTAAACAATCATTTTCGAGGCATATCAGCATGAGACAAAAAGAATCATGTGATTGTGAAGTAACACGCACCAATGGCTCTTCGCGTCCCTTATTTCGAACTGATCCAGGTCCAGGTTTCCATTGATCCACAAACTTGGCGTCTAAAAATAAAGACGGGTACGTGATCTCGATATTGCTATATTCTTGGCTTGCTGCAAGGTGTCGCCATTGCTGAAAGTTCCCATCGAAGCAAATGATGAAATCTGGTTCATCTTTTTGATCCTCTACATTGGGCTTGAGGTCTGCAATTGGTGCTGCTGGTCCATAACATCGAGGGCAATTGGCCGCAAGCTGCTCGATTGGAGAGAGGTCCATAGCTTTGACTGAAAGCTCATCCTCCATCCAAATCATATGACGGTAGGCGTCGACCGCGCATGAGAAAGGCTTTCGCCAAAGACGAGGCTAAAGAATATGGTTAATATCTGTGGTACTAGAACATCTTGTGAAATCAGGACTTACCTCGTTTGTGCCTTCGACTAAAATTAGTGGACTGTGAGCATCTAGACCCCTGTCTAAGGAGAGGCAGAACGGTTGGATTGCTGTTGAGGAGAATTTCCATAGTAAGTGATAGTGTCGAAGGACTCGGATAGAGAACGCGGTTGCTGGGTGGGTCGGGGTTCCGCCTATATAACCCATGTTGATTAACCGAACCTGGTCGGGGCAATCACAGAATTTGATCTTCTGCTTCTTGCGAGCTGTATGTTGTAAGACGTATCTGTCAGCCTATATCTAGATATAGAATCTCATAGCGGATAGAGAAGACATGATGAAATGAAACTGTCAATAAAAAATGAAACTTACAAAATATATCAATTAAATCTACAAACCGCCCGGATCCTTCTTTAACCTTACACGAGCACCGGTGAAAATCCGTATTCCACACTTGCTCATCCCACCATTCAGATGTCTTATCTGCACATTGCATGTACGCTACAAACATAGGTCGCAAGACAATTTTCCATTGCTCATATTCTCGAAGTCGTCGAATGTGATAATCATCGCTGGAGACATGTTGAGTGAAGTTTTGGGGAGGCGCGTTTGGCTGTTCATCAGGATTGGGATGAGGATCGATGTTGAGTGGAGGTGGTTGATCTTCTAGACGGAGATCAAGTAGATAGGCGAGGTCCGGAACAGGGTGATCTTGAGCCGGGGGAACATCTGGTACAGGTGGTTGTAAGGCTGTGTGAAGTGCGTTGATCTTTGGTTGCTGCCATTCTTCGTCAAGCTTGTCCATCTCAGCCTGTTGCTGGGCGGAACGGCTCATTTTCTTACGAGGTTTCTTCTTTGCTGGCTTTGAATAGAGTCCTTGGATGTCAGTAGAGTCGGCCATAGTTTTCGGAGTTGGAGTGATTGAGAGAGTTTAGAAGTGGGGAACAAGGATAGATCGAGATGATATGAATAATGACAAGGTCACTTCTGGATGTGATTGGTCCGGTCGTTATTTGTTGAGCTGCGTAGTGTGGTTGGTCCAATCGGTGTTGAGCTGCATAGTGTGAAAATGTAGATCTCTTTGTTTTTGTTTTAAGCTTTCGATCCGTGTTTCAGTCTTCAGTTGATAGAACAGATAAAGATAATTCCAGTGCGGTTGGTGTCGAGCTGCATAGATTGCATTGATGAATGATATGAATTGAGCTGCATAAAGATCTTTGTTGTACAATGTAACTCTATTTGTTTTAGTTTGAGGCTTTTGATCGGTATTTCAATATTCAGATGATTGCTGGTACGGTCGATCTTGAGATGCATGATGTGTCTTGAGAATTGATAACTCTGTTGGTGGAGTTGGTGTCTTTGAGCGGTGATTCGATTTCATCAATGGAAGGTGAAGAATCGTGATGGATGGATTGGTGGGTAGAATTGATGGGTGGATGGGGAATGGTACATGTGCAGATGTGTCTGATGTCTGACTTTGTTTTGATCACGGACATGTCTGATTTACATACACAGACATGTCTGACTTACATATAGGTGCAGACATGTCTGATGGATGCAGACATGTCTGCTACCTTGCAATTTTTGACTTCATTTGATTGAAAATTCAAAAATTTTCTCAGGTTGATTGTGTGATGATCAAAGGGATCTGAAAAGCATAAAACCCCTTCTCCTTGAGAGAAATGTTGAGAAAAGGTGTAATAGGGGGAGGTCTGATCCGTCTGTTATGTCTGCATGCGCAATAACGGAGGTCCTCCGGCTTCAAGGTTCGTCTATATGTAGGGAGTATGTCGGGGCCGTCGGGTAGCCACAGGTGACCCCCATACATTCATGCTGCTGATCTCGATGAATTCAATTATTTCGACAGTCTGCCGAAATAGCGTCAAAGTCGCTGGTGATAATGATTGATTTTCTGCAATCGAGGTGGGCAACGGTCCATCCACGGCGTCTATGAAGGTGTCGACAGTGAGCCCTTCCCCTTCGATGGTATCCGTGATTCTCCCAATCACACTGTCAAGATCCAGCAGAGGGTCGTGGTACGGAATCATGTGAAAGATTCAACCTTGCTTCAACGGTACCCGGAATTATGTGTAAGTGATGCAGAAGGGTCGCAAGAGCACAAGTGTGGAGAGATAGTTATAAGGACCTCCTTCGAGGGACCCGCTGGACTGACCCAATTTGCCACTCTTCCGCGAAACGCAACACGTGGTGTCGCGGCCTGAAACTCTGCAGCGTGTTGACCACGTCCTCGCGCTTGCCCATTTGGGACATGGTCACTTGAGTTATTGTAATTCGCACCAAGCCAGGCCATCGGTTTTGTTATTTGGGGTTGTTGGCCTCAAACACTTCAATAGCGAAACGGAGGCTTCCTGTGCGAAAACGCGCACTTGCACTGCTCGTGCGATTAAATATGAGTCTTGCTCGTGCCAATTTTCCCCTTTTGGGCATGGTGTGGGAGCACCACCATTGATCCTGCTTTACCGATTCGTTTCACCAGGCGCGGAGTGAATGCCTGCGCTCCTGGGAGCTTCCCCCGTTTGTCTCGAGAACGGGGTTTAGGCCTGGAGGCTTTGATAGGTAAACACCTGGGTGGATTTGACCAGGTTCAATATCGATGGAAGAATGTTACAACTAAGATGGCCACAGAGAAATAATAGACACAGAGGTGGAGACGGTTCTGATTCCATACCTTGGGATCTGGACTCTGACCAGTTGATATTTCCACATTGTGGCTAAAGACGTTACCACTGACCCTCGATGCCTCCTAAGGCAGTACCTCGGGCCAACCTGCGACCAAGTAGCACTGTGTCCTGAACACTTCAGGTGTTGAAATACCTAGCTGAGCTGGATCTAGCTCCCAAACAGTTCATGGTGACGTTCATGTCATCTGCCGATCCCGAAATCGTATATCGCCGACGCCTGATGAAGACTGGCCGGGGTTTTGAACAAACTCGCTCAATCATTACGAATTTTGGAAAACATTCGAAGTCCTGCCCAGAGGGCCGCCGAGACTGGGAGGATCTGATTTTGGAAGAGGTTAATGGTCTGATGTTCCAACTGTGGCGATAGACACTCACCAAGTGTTGATGTCCTATCTAACCCAGGCTTCGGAAATAGTAATTGCTCAGGAATTACCTCGCGGCCATTTCCCAACCGGCGCCTACGTCAGCTCTAATCGCATCACGCCTGACTTTTTTAGTGAGGCATCAGAAGGCCTTCGCGAGGCCCAAGTCAAGACTGGGATGAGATTCCTATACTCACTAATCCATCGGAAGCTAGCCCAAGCCCTGAATCATGCAGACCCCAAGGACCTCGATGACATTGAAGGCGAACAATTGCCTGGCCTATCCCAACCTTCCACCTCGACAACTGCCTCCTTCATTGACGATCTAGCGAGTAGCCCTGGTTTGGACGAAAATGCCGAGGACGCCACGGTGATGTCGATGGAGAATCTGGTTTATGTCAAGGGAACACTCGCAGATCAAGTGTCACACAAGCTCGCAAAGGTGCGCGCCATCATTGCTAGTATCTACGATTTATAGACTGATAACAATCGCCTGCCTCCCAGGTACCCATCATGGTGTGTGCGATGATAGGTCTCACGTGCAACCGCCGTAGCAATGCTCTACCAATGGCGAATGCTTTGATGGGATATGCAGGAGGGATATCTTGCCAAATCAACGAGTGGCTCAACTGCCATGGCATGACCACTTCGAGGAGTAGCACTTTGCAAGCAATGGAACATCTCCGAGTCTTACAAGAAGACCGGATGATGGAGCTGTTCAAATTAAATCACAAGCTCCTGCCCTTACTAATCTATGACAACATTGACATCCATCTGAAGATTCACAATACTCGCATCGAGGCGTCATCAAGACTTTTCCACGGAACCTGGGGGTTCTTTATCGTGGTGCGTAGTTGTTTACAGGCTAAGTGTAGTGAAGAAGTGGCTCGATTATCGACCTTCCTAGACGCGATGGCTAGCGCCGACCGCAAAACGGTCCAGATGTCCTCATTTTGCCCTACTCCTGCGGAAGCGGACCACTGGGTTGCCGTCGTTAAAGCTCAACTGGCAAAAGCTCTTGCCGAACATGTCGGTCAGATTTCTGGGGCGCCAGAACACGCAAATTTGCCAACGTTGGCCACACAACCGCCACCGCTGGACCCAATCAAAATGCATCAGGCTAATATTCATTTCCTGCGCATGATGGACGCACCCGATTCTTCTGATGAAGGGGTTTCGCGCGTAATTGACGAGGTAATCAAACAAATTGGTTTGGATAAGACGAAGTACGCGGAGAGCCTATTAGTCGCTGGCGGAGATGTTGGCTCAAATCAGCTTTTGGAAAGTCTGCGTATGAAAAGGTACCCACCCATTGATTCGGTAGAAGGCATGGAATGGGTCCTCTCCATCTTCGGAGGGGCCCACACCACGTGGAACGTGACCGAAGCGCTGCTAACCCACCATTGGGGTAAATCGGACAATGGCGACGATTCGGGGGCGTGGCGGAGTTTGTTTGCTTTGGGAGGTGAGTACAAGAAACCGGTAGCGTCCCAGGACTTCAATACTATCATGCGTTCAACCCGATTGCTCCACAAAGCGAATCTCGTCCATATCATACGGTTAGTTCCAGTAGCGCCAAGTACCAATGTATCAGGCAAATGAGCAAGGTTAACTGACAGATTGGGCTGACCCCCAGCGAAACCTTGGAGTCAGATTCCACAATCGATCTCACACAACTTCCCAGCTGCCAAAGACTCTTTGATACTATTTGGAATACATACTTTGACGGGAAAGCCCTTGAAAACGCGAGGCAAATGGATGACCCTACACGGTACAACTTGATGTTGAGACTCCGAGACTTCGCCACGGTCGTCGAGGCGCACGAGGCCACACGTGCTGGAGATATAGGCCGACTGATGCTTATGTGGAAAACTTGGGCCGTGATGGCTCAATGGGTGCAGGGACTATCTCATTATGCTAGACATATCCCCCGAATCGTACTCCTCCTGGAATAAGACCTGCCTGCACCGATTGCACATGCTATCAAGCATTCACTTCTGATTCCCTCAAACGGGCAATCGGATCACTGGCTCCCAATAGATGAATATCTTGAAATCAGCATTTTTTATTTGAAGCGGGTCTATAACAACACTGTGAGCGATTAAGTCAAACGCCTCCTCACTTTTGTCATCCTCGCAGATCATGACACGCTGTGACTCATTCATGTGCGTACACCCAGGGTCATGGAACGGATATCAGAAGGCTCATTGAGCGTCTTTCCAACATTATCCCTTTGGTATGCTTCGAATCAACTTGAATGCATTGCGATAGTAGCTGACATGATGGTTATGCCGTGACCCAGCTCTGAAAACTCATGCAGCTGTTCAAAATTCACTCCGGTCACACCTTGATATTCCAAAACAACCACAACGCCATCTCAGTCCCCTCGCTTTTGGCATTCCTCGCTTATGCCAAAGAGCATTTGGGCAAAACACGGGCCAGACGCCCATCTCCAGCCGTTACCAACGTATGGAAGGCCGGTCAGCGGAACATGCTGAAGCTTATTCGCGCGGACCTAGTCGCGGGTCGAAAATCCCGATTTCGCTGGGGTGCTGCTGACGTGTTGTCAGCGTGGGACTGTCAAAGTGCGGAATATCCTGGAGAGGAGTGAAATATTGTACATATTAATCATCATTAGCGCACATGATGAATATACACCATGGAATGAACAGCGAACATGACCAACCTGTGATACGCGCTTGTTAGCACGATCTGGGTCAGCTTGAGACCCTCCTGAACGTTTCCGCCGCTTATCAGACGTGGCAGAAGCTTGCGCCTCTTTCTGCTGGGCACGCAAGTGAGCCTTTTCAAGGGCCACTTGCGCCTTCAAAGCGGCTCGAGCCTCCTCGGCTTGAGCCTTCTCCTCTAGCTTCCGCGCGAGGTTGGCAGCCTTCTCATTAGCCTTATCCAGCGCGAGTTGCTGTCTCTCGAGCAGCCTGGCCTCTTTGGTGGCCAGTTTTTCGGCGTCGGCACGGCGCTTTGACAGAAGAGCTCCTTCGACTGACTGAACAGGCTTTGTTGGAGGGCGTGAGACCGCTTTCCTTCGCGCAGCCGCTTGCGAGATGGCCACCGTCGCAGAATCGTTGTCCTTCCACTCTGTCAAGGCTGCAAAGAGGCAGTTGTATTGGCCTTTGATGGCCTCGCTGGCTAGTACCACACCGAAATCATGTGGTTCACGCAGTAAATCCACGTTCTTGGCTAGGTCCCATGCCAGATCTCGTCCGAAGTAATCGTCGGGGCCTAGGTGACAAGGCTGAGTGTAGCGTGTGTGCCAGAAGGCCGCGAAAGCGCGTTCCAAACGCGTGACTAGTCTTTCAAGTATGGGACACTCCAAAATGGGGTCATCAGGACCGCAGAGCATCGCGACGTGAGGTAAGTCAACTACCGGAGGCAGTGGGGTATTGGGGAGTGTTGCAATTAGGTTGAGAAGCTGGAGTTCATCCATGTCAAGGGCCGCTTGAAAGTTCGCGTTGGTGAGACAGGGTTGTGCGAGCCATAGCGCTTCCGCGTCATCCGGTTTACAGTTTGAGCAGTCACAGGCAGCCATTCCAGCCGCCCGTTGACGAGTAACTTCTGCAGTTACAACCAACGAATCACCGTGTAAGGGGATGTAGCCGTGCCTGTGTCAAACACCATGTCAACAGGCATTCGTTACTTGTAGAAATTCCAACTAACACTTACTCCAGATCCACAGCCAGAGCCACTCGCAGGCAGACCGGTGTCAGAGCGAGGGCGTCCATTTGGTCATCATCACTCATTACTGAACAATCATCGAAATCCTCAATGGCGTTCTTGCCGTTGGCTCGACAATGTTCGACCAAAAGAAAACCAAGGCCACGTGTTCCATCGCGACCGCAACATCCAGACATCTGGATAAAGTTGCAGGGATCTTGTCGTCCCACAATAACAACACGGCGTACGCGATGCCAGTTCTGGCCTAGGCCAAGGGAGAGCGTGCAGCAAATAACTTGCAGATTTCCATTCACAAATGCCTCCACTGCGGAAAGTTTCGCGTTATCCCCGGTGGTGGCGTGGTAACGGCGTGCAAAATGAGATTCACCGTTGCTAGTTTCAAAAGGTTGACCTCGGGCATGATTAATGAGCTGTAAGTAATCCAGAGTTGCATTTTGAGTACCCGAATAAATCAGAGTTGGAGGTACAGAAGATGTTGGAGTGAAAGTATGATGACTGAATAGATTCTTTAATGATGCTTTCAGGGGTCGCTTGAACGTTCTTCGTATCAGACGCAATTCGGGACGGCTTAGTTCAGCGCGTACAAAACGTATATCTTGTGAATCCAACTTAAGGTTCACAATAATCGCATGAATTGCTTGAGGAGTACAAGTCGCGGACATTAATAACAGAGGTACCTTGTCGGAGGCCAGGAAACGCCGGGCTAGTTGTCCATAGGAGGGTCTGAAGGCTCCGCCGTCGTGAACTCTTGTCCAGCTTGCCAACCTTTTAGCTTGGCCGGACTCGACCAGCCCCCAGGTATATACCATGTGGGCTTCGTCGACCACGTTGAGCACCAACCTGCTCTGAAAATTTGGATCCGCCCACAATCGATCGAAAACATCACTCGTTAACGCAATCTCTGGGCTCTACCACCGGTTAAACATCCAAAAAACATGTCAGTATCTTGGACATCAAGACCACGGCGAGTCGATTGTATATACCACATAGACAAAAGTATATTTCCCTTTGAGTATCACATCGGAGGTCTCCCGGGTGCAGTTGGGTCCAGTTAAGTTGACACCATTCAACTGCACACTTTCTTTCTCGCTGACCTGTTACACCAACATGTAGGCGTGGTCAGTGATATGATTACAGTGACCAATCCATCGGCACTGACTTGATCGTCTCCTAGAGCATCCAATGGGTTGATGCTCAGGATAATTGGCGCATAGCCCTCGTCGTATGCCAGATAAAGCAATTCGGGGACACGGCTCTTTTCGAAACCGGTACCAGCCAAGAGGAAGGTGTTTCTTCCATTGATCAGGTGCACCACGGCCTCGATTTGCTGAGCTCGCGCGGGGTAAAGATATTTCGAAAGGAATAGCTCGCCAATGATTTCGGCTTGGCGCTCTTCACTGACACCAGTCAGTTCGTTCCGCAGTTTTGGCCGTGCAGTGATTGATTTGGCCATACGCAGCGCTAGATTTTCGGCATTGGCCGCGGAAATACTCCTACGCAGCATTCTGGTTGGACGGTGGGCAAGCAGTGAACAAATATTGTGGTACGACAAGGGTGGAGCTATGAGGTGGTGGATTTTGTGTACTTGGCGAGATCTGCTCAATCACAAAATGCAGTTTGTCATTCTGGTTTTGTCCATTTCGTCCATGATACAGGCCTCTTGGACGCCGCAGTCACTCTTGAGTCATGTACGGCCCCGGTGATAGCGCCAAGTGAATTTGAGCTCATGCTGTTCTCAGTTTTAGGGCCGATGAGCCATGTAGAGTGCCAAATGATAGACAGCAGGGGTGCGCCCAATTTTTATTATACGCTCACCGCGCGTTGATAATGAAACAGAGAGTGCAGGTGCGACAGGAGATTTTGGGCAAAAGCCCTCCCTGATCTCACGCTTGAATATTGGGATTAGGCGTAAGTCCCTCGCTGGCGCTCGGAGGTACGTGGTACCTGTACCGACGGGGCCACGCGAGTTGGACTTAGTTAAGTTTGTGCTTGGCGGTATATTCCGGTCGCCGCATGGGTGCGAATAGCCTTCAATTTCAAATTGCATATGCGTCTAAAATCACATGCAACTTGATGTCAATTCCATGATAACCTTACATGGTATCATGATCCTGATCATTAATGACGTTCTTTGTAGTCTTCAATATGTTCTCGCTAAACAAAATGCAATTCAAAAAAGAATCCCAATAAATCATTCGACTTTACCATTACGATAACATCACCTTCTTGCCTTCCTTGGTAGCTCTGATCAAACTCATTCGATATGATCTCTTTTCTCTCTCCAAAACCCGAACTTGAGTCTTTCTCATAAGAAAGTTTAAGTGGTAGCTTAAGATAATTTATCCGTTACAGTTGCACTGACACTATAAAGAATAATCAAGGTTCACATTGATTTTATGTAATCTGACTGGCCCCAAAAAGTTATTAACCCGAGTATTTTCCATATCTCAAGCTTCGCTAATTATTTATCTCGCTCTCACAAGTTGGATCCGCGGATAGCTTAAAGAATTTTTTTCTTTAATGGCTATGGAAACATTAAAATAACCCTTGGATCGGTTTCCTAAAAGGCTACACCTAAGCTCGTCGCACGAGCAACCAAGCTGATCGTCACCGAAGATCCGCGGCAGCTTTGACCCAAGAAATCAATTCAAATAGAATATCGTTGGTTAACTGACTTCGCAGCGCAGTTTGGGTTATTGGTATTGAATCCCTCAATGAAAGAAATGTTCAGTGCAGTCTTAAAATGATCTACCTTGACTTTCCGCTTTGATAAGTTCCATAATCATTTCATCAAGTTCAAACCTTTCTCTTTTCTATATATGAAATGAGAACTTCGAGAATGATTCAAGTACTCGTATAAACATTCACATTGTTCCTAAATATATCGTAGTTTTGTGATCAATCTATCGTTTCTCTTTGACTTCAAAGCTTTAAATTCTTTTCATCGCATAAGTTTGTATCTTCAAATTACTTGTTTTTTCTGAGCGGAAGTTATCGATATAAGAACTTCTTCTTATTGCCTTTTTCATCGTACTTCATTGAGTGTTTCAAGTTAATAGAGTCTATTAGAAAGTTACAATTTTCCTGTCTTCAAGCAACCTCTTATTTCCTCATCCGGTTTCAAAAACTTACATCATGACATCTCCCTCACCCTTCAAATGTAGTTCAATAGATTATGAATCTGTAGTAGACCCAGCTAGCTGTGTTGAAGATTTAGAAGAGTATGATACGTCCACTGAATTACCTGTGATTAGACCTTCCAAGCTTTTAGTTGGAACTACTCTCCTCTCATCGCCTACAGGTTCTTTATTCAACGAAAAATACTCAATGTGTCCGCGTAAGTTTTTTTCTATTCTTTGCACTTCAATCAACCACGACCAATATTAATTCTCTTGCAATCTTTGCAAAAATGCATGATACGATAGTTGATAAAGCTACAGGGGAAGCTTACCAAGAAATCACTCGTACTACTAGTAGTACCAGCACCAGCACCAGCACCAGCACTCGAACTAGGACTACTCGGTCTCGATCTGCTACTACATCTTCTTGGTCTTCAGACTCGACCGAGCTCTCAAGTATAGCCCCATTATCGGAAACGAATTTTCCATCATCCATGCCAAGGATAGCATTCGCAGATTGGCAAAAGTTTGGCATCGAATTCTATACACCTAAACCACAAAAAATCAATCCATCAAATATGTATTATGAATATCATTCAGTTAGTTCTACTAGGGTTTCAACTAGACCACGTCAAGGTAGATCAAAATCACATCCTATAAGTACAACTCAAAACTTACAATCTGAAAAATCTCAATCTTATTCTATATTTGAATCAAAAGAAGAAGAAGAAGAAGAATCGAATTCGAAACCTAAACTTTTATTAAGAAGAGCAACACTTGAAGGTTATTATTGTCCAGAACTTTAAAGCAAAAAACAAAATCACAGAAATTTTTTTACAATTCTTTTTTTTTCTTCATACATTTTCTGTAGAGCTTTGAACCTACATTCATTACAATTTTTCTTTTCCTTCTCATAGAAATTTGTTGGTTTATGACTGACTTTTTTCATTTAACAAAATCATTTGGATCGAGTCGTCTTTTTGTATGTTTCTTTACTCAATCACATTCACATAAACTTAAAGCAAGAAACATCGATTTTCTCCTTCGTTCTTTGTTTTCACTACATTATATAAAGTCAAAGATTTCGATTCGAGCTTTGAAAGCCATTTTTCAATTCAAGCTTTGAAAGCAATTTCATTATACGTTTAAACATTGTACTATCAGTCTCTTTGTATCTTTCGCATCATCAGTTCTTTCTTTGTTTGTTTGTTTGTTTAATAATTCCTCAAACCACCATATGATATCACATATGTTGATTTTTTTTAGAAATGTAGTATGTAATCATTTTGGATTTATCTATCAACACCATAATGGCGTGTTTACTGTTTTTTTCTTTCTTTGTAATAATTTTTTTGTATTAAATATCTGCATAACCCATGAATCATAGATTTTTCCTTTTTTGAAAAACTTGTGGAATTTGCAATTTGGTTGACTAGAACTATCCAATAAAAGTTGAGAGACTTTTTGCGAGCGAAAAAAAATATAGAGTGAATTATTTTTGATCACAACCAAATTGAATTTTCCTTTGATTAAACTACAATCATTTGATTATATGTTGGACATTGAGAAAAAAATTAACCAAGTTTTTTACTAAATTAGAAAAGGTTAAAAACTATGTACCGTCCTTGCTGTATATCAATCCAGTTCAAAAACCAAACTTTGAACTTGTTTCATTTCTTCTCAATGTCCAACATATAATCCAATAATTGTATCACTGTTAATCAAACAAAAAAACCCAGAAAATCCAAAAACAATAGACCAAATCAAATCAATGATACAAGTTTAACGCACTTATTCTAATAATCAAACTCAAGAAAAACCACAAAGTAGATGTAATCAAAAGTATGTAATCAGAAAGAAAAATCATTCAAGTGGCTATAAATATTCAAGAAAAAAAATAACAAGATAAAAGAAGATTATAAAGAAAACTTGAGTATAGATTAGTTGATTAGATCGGATATACTATTGGAAAGAAGTCGACAATGATAGTTTTTTCTGGATGTCCAAAGTGATAGGATCTATACCTATTGACCACATCAAGATGTCACACAGATAATCGTGATATGTCATATATGAATCAGAATAGATTCATCACGAATAGTTTTATCTGAATCGACATTATATCCTACAAGAAACCATATAATCAGCCAAACCAAGACCAATAAACCAAATTCACATACATACCCAATAAAATCCTAACTAATCAAACCACAAAACTTTCACCAATTCTTTTTCAATCATAACCCAATCCTCAATTTAACATCTCGAAGAATTCATTCGATTTCTCATCAATGCTTTTCTTCTAGCTGCAACAAATTCTTTTTGATATTTAGTCACTTCTTCTGCTTTTCGTTTACTTGTTCCATTCTGAAATGCTGTGACTGTTTTGGTGGGTTCAACTCCTGCTGAGATCGGAATCGATTCGAGTCTTTGTCGTATAGATTTCAATCGACTTGAACTTCTGGGTTCAGGATTGATAGATGATCGAAGTTGTCGAGTAGGGGCCACTGATTTCGAAGCATAAGCTAAATCTATTGGAGTTGGATGTTTTGGATGTTTTGATGCAATCAAAGTTTCTCTTGTAAAATTCGTCTTCTCTGCGTAAGTTTGATCAATGCTACTCCTTGAATTTTCCACCCGCTGGATGCTGTTGGGAGCTTTAAACAGTTGGTCGACATGATTAGACGTAGGATTGACTCGTGTAGATTCAGAATCTATGGCTATCGTCTTCTTGGTGGGTATAATAATGCTGCCTTCATCTGATGTGACCCGGCTGCGCTCACTCGTCGGTTTCTCTATCAACTGAACGCCACAGGAAAGTCTCAGTGATGTTAAGTGGTCTGAAGGTGAGTCACGTATTGGTTGATTGCTCTTCATCGGGTTCAAGGTGGGCATAGTAGTATTGGCTCTACCTGACGGGAATCTACACAGCTCCTTAGTCTGTTTCTCTACTGACTGAAAGCTATATGAAGTTTTAAGTGATTGTAAGTTGTTTGAAGGCGAGTTCCGAGCACGAGTCATTTGATCAACCTTCATCGAATTCATGCTGGGCATAGTAGTCCTGGCTCGACCTGGCGGAACCCTGCTCAGATCCTTTGCTGGTTTCTCTTTCAAATGAACGCTACTGGAAGCTCCAAGTGATGACAATTTCTCTGAGGGTGAGTCACGAGTTGATTGGTCAGTCGTTTTCGTATTCTTGGTGGGTATAATAACATTGCTTTGATCTGATGTGGCCCGGCTGCGCTCATTGGACGGCTTCTCTATCAACGGAACGCTACGGGAAAATCTCGGTGATGCCAAGTTGTCCGAAGGTGAGTCACGTATTGATTGATTGCTCTTCATCGGGTTCAAGGTGGGCATAGTAGTATTTGCTCTACCTGATGGGAACCTGCGCAGATCCTTAGTCTGTTTCTCTACTGACTGAAAGCTATATGAAGTTTTAAGTGATTGTAAGTTGTCTGAAGGCGAGTTCCGAGCACGAGTTATTTGATTATTCTTCATCGAATTCATGCTGGGCATAGTAGTACTGGCTCTACCTGGCGGAACCCTGCTCAGATCCCTCGTCGGTTTCTCTATCAACTGAAAGCTGCGAGAAGCTCTAAGTGACGGTAATTTGTCCGAGGGCGAGTCACGAGTTGATGGGTTGAGCGTCATCGTATTCTTGTTGGGTATAGTAAGATTGCCTTCATCTGACGCAAACCTGTTCATCTTTCTCTTCGGTTCTTCTATCAGCTGAACACTACTGAGAGTTCCAAGTGACGGTGATTTTTCTGAGGGCGAGTCACGAGTTGATGGGTATATCGTCATCGTATCCTTGGTGGGTATAGTAAGATTACCTTCATACGACGTAAACCTGCTCATTCTTCTCCTCGGTTCTTCTATCAACTGACCACTACTAGAAGCTCTAAGTGACGGTAATTTGTCTGAGGGAGAGTGACGAGTTGATGGGTATATCGTCATCGCATTCTGGTTGGGTATATTAAGATTACCTTCATCTGACATAAATCTGCTAATCCTTCTCGTCGGTTGAACATTACTAGAACTTGCAAGTGACGGTAGTTTGTCTACCGCTGTATCATGAATTGATGAAATGATTTCCACCTTATCTTTCGGATCATCAATCTCAGCAAACGGTCTTAAATCATAAATCCTTCTTTCGTTTCCTTCCCCTTCTCCGTTTCTTGAAAAACTTCGATCCTCAATGTAAACAAACCCTTCTTGAAATGATTCGGTTGTTTGAATTGCACTAGTAACATCTTGTTGGTTTCCATTATTTGGTTTATTCTTTCTTTTAATTCTGGTTGATCTTCTTATAATCGGTATTCTTACAATTCCACGAGCAAATTCAGATGCTTGTTTTTCAGCTATGAATTTTCGAAATAATACATTTTCTCTTAGTTTTTTTTTCTTTTTTCTTTTCTGTTCTGATTACGTAGTATCAATGTAAAGCACGTACCGATACTTGAATCATCAGATTGGATTCGAAGTCTCATTTGTAACTCTAATTGAGCAGCCGCCAAAAACATCAAACCTTTTGGATCTGATTTTAATTGATGATTCAATGAACCCATTAGATTTTCTTGATTAAGAATTGGTATCCTAAATGGTAATTCTGCTTTAAATTTAAATTTCTTCTTGGGTAATTCATTTACAATCCTTAAACATAATTGTTTAAGTTTTGGTTTGATATCATGATGATCTTTCTTTAAGTTTGAATTCAAATTAGGAGGAATAGCCCAAATCCAACGACATCCACCTAATGAAAACACAGGAAAGTTTAAACTACTAATCCTTCTCTTATCTGCAGCTTGATCTTCTTCAAATCTCTTCAAGATCTCATCACTAATTTCAATATAAATTTTTAAATTTCCATCTATTCCTTCTGCCCAAATTGAAGAAGTTTGATGATCATGATTGATAGTAGTTTCACCAAATGAATGTTTAGATAAGAATCGAATGAATTGTAGGTTTCCTGTTCTGATGGGATTTGATGGATTTAAGATTGAGGTAGATGGTTCGGTTTGTTGTAGATAAGTTTGACATGCTGACCAGATCCATGGTTGAACTTGTTCCATTGATCGATGCTTTATTTTCGTTGTTCCATTGATCGATCGATTCTTTATTTTCGTTGTTCCATCTTGAATTGAACTGAACTTGAACTTGATGGAACAACCACTCGAAGTGAACCTGAGATCGGGTAACCATTCCATTGGATTGTACCGAACCCGCTCATGGTTTTTCAAATTAAACATCAAAGGAAGCTCAGCCGGCACTATCCAATTCAACTTCATCAAGACCTACCAAGACCATTCACCTCCTCAACTACACTCAAACTAAACCACGAAACAACCAATGTCACACTTTCCCAAAGCACAACGTTTCCCAATTGAAAAACGTAAAGTTTCAAATCTCTAAACACTCATCAAAATCATTCAAAAACAAAGCACTCATTCAAAACATATAAACACTTTACATACAAATAACAGCTTCAGATGTACCTGGTCCAGGTTTATATAATCCTAAATTACATGATCCCAATGATGATCCTTGGAGAAAAGGTCCATTAGAAATCTTTAAAGCTCCTAGATCTAAACCACACGATGGAGGTCCTGGTACGTGATTTGACATTCACTCTTTCTTTTGGAGACTAATTTAACTTGATTAAATCATACAACACGCGATTTTGGAACAAAGATACATTTGGGCTATATAACACTGAAGAACTAGAAGTTCCAAGACCTAGAACAAGAGCAATTTCAACCATGGCAACTCCATCAAAACATGCCAATGAATTATTAAGATTAGAATCTAAATTATTTCAATACGAATCACAAATCGAAAGTTTAAACCAATCATTAAAGATATCAGAAACGACTGTAAAGGAAACTAGAAAAGCATTAAACCGATCAGATCTAGAACAAAAAGAGATGGAAAACGAATTAGAAAGATTAAGGAAACAGATCTCAGGACTTACAGGAATTCAAAAGAAATTAATCGATTTAGAAAATGAATATAGGAAAAGTAAAGAGAGAAGAGAAAGTGAGATTGGAAAGTTGAAGTTTGAATTAAGAAGTTTAGAAGATAAATCTTTGAAGGAACGAAATGAGTTTCAAATCGATTTAGAAAATGCTAAGAGGTCTAGTGGTGAAGGATTAGGAAAGGTAAAGGAAAGTTTTGATAGATTGAATCAACATTATATTCATTATCTTCCTACTTTACTTCAACAATTTCGAGAGATTGAAGATACATTGAAAACTGAAAGGAAATTCAACACAACAGATTTGATTAGGGTTAGAAAACGATTAGGAGATCGGGTTGCACAGGTTGATGAGTTGGCAGGATTAGTAAATGAACTTGAATGGAGAGAAGAAGAGTTAGTAGAAGTAGTTGAAAAACTTCTCGAAGTAGAAGAATCAGCAAGAGAAGAAGCAGAAGAGGAGAGTAGGTCACTTGGGATGGAAATTGATCGATTAAGAGATGAACTTCATCAACTGAATCAGTTACATGAAACTCAACTTAAGCTTTGGGAAAAGATCGAGCTCGAATCAAAGACGGAACTTCAATGCGCTCAAGAAACAATCGTGATGAATGAAACTCAATTAACGGATAGTCGATTAACTGCTACTGCTCTCGAATCTACACTTTCAGAAGTCTTGAAAGCTTATGAAGAATTATCAAAAACGTATCAGAACACAAACAGTGAATTGAGTAAGGCAAACGAAGAAATCAAGACAAAGGATTGTAAGTTGGCAGAATTGAATGATGAGTTGACAGGAACAAATTTGCAAATAGTCCAATTGAACAAAGAAATGGATGATTTACGTGACATGCATGCAAATCTGGTTGAAGAATGGGGTACTGAACGGAATCACTTACAAAGTAGAGCTGAAGAAGCTGGGAAAGAGGCTTTGAAGGAAAAAGAAGCCAAGAGGAAAGCTTGTTCGGAATTAATGGTTTCAAGACAAGCAGAGGCGGCTGCGAGAGGTGAATTACAACAGTTGAGTGATCTACTTCTAATTTCATCATATTTCAAATGAAACCAAACTAAGCCCAAGAAAAAATCGTACTCTAGGTTGGAAGATGTTCAACTGAGATTAGAAGCAGTAGAAAAAGAAAAATGTCAATTGATCAAGATTAATGATTTTCTTTCACGTCAATCCTCTTTGAATGCTGAAGAAGCAGATAAACTGGCTTCATTAAATGCTGAACTTGTTAGTCATCAAAACCCATCTCAAAGACTTAAAGTCTTGGATCGAATTCGAAGAGAAGGAAAAGAAGAAAGAGCCGTAAGTTGAATGATCAACCTGCCAACTTGAGCTTCTCTTATCATCAAACTTTCAAATCACAATTTGACATGATTCTTCTCTTTTTTGGGTTTTTTAGAATTTAGCACATCTTCAAAATGATCTTTGGGCAGCAAGAGCCGAAATCGAAAGTTTGAAAGAAGAATTATCATCGTATCAATCCATCAGTCCGATCCCAACAACTTCAAAAAAGAAACCATCCTTGGGATTAATGCCACCTAAATCACCGAGTCAACAATTAGTAGGACTTTCAAGAGTCAGTAGACCAGCTTTAAGTGAAGTCACGATTCATAGTAGTCATCATTCTCCACCACCGGTTCCTAAAGTTCAAGTACCTAGTTCTAGAAGTGCTATTAGTTCTTTACCAATCAAGATTGCTTCTAGAGTTGGAATGAAGAAGAAAGTGATTGATCAGAGTCATAGTAATAGTAATAAACCTAATTCTAGTAGGGTAAGAACTACAGGGACTGCGATTGTAGAAGAACCGGCGGCTGAGATGAGTTTAGGAGCTATTAAGATGCAAGGTAGAATGACTCTAGATGAATTAAGATGATCATTTTGACTTCTTTTGACTTTTTTTTTCTTTTACTTATTACCTTTGCTGATTGAATTATGATTGTTTGATGATCATTTCTGGGTGTATCTTTTGATTTGTCTGTTTTTCTATCAATCTTTTTAGGAATTGTTGTTAGGAGAGTAGAACTTATCTTTTGCATTCTTTTTTTTTCTCAGCTTTGGTTAAAAACTTTTCTTGAATAAAGTGATCAATAAACTTTTGTGGATTTTTTTTCCCTTTTTTTCTTCATGAGGATTGGATATATATGTGTTTTGGGGAGTAAGATCTTTGTATTCTTATTTGGTTAATCTTTTCAAGGGTTTTTTTTGAAACAGTTTAAGAATGTGTGAATCTTTTCTGGAGATATGTAATGAATTTTTAAGGTAAGATTGTCTTGATTCAATTGATTCCACAATTGTTTCAGGAATCTGAAGGAGGCTCCTGGAAAGCTCAACAAGGGTGATCATTTCCTGCTTCAGCCAGGTATCTAGATTGGATATGAATATGAAGTTTGAATGTGAGCAGTAGCTGAAAGTTAAACTGCCTAATTATGAATTATACTTCTTACTTTTGAGGAAGTAGTATGAAAATGCTTGAGAGGAATCATACCGATAATTGCAAACAAAATCATAATTCAATCATTCAGAGTTTCATCTTGTAGACACTTGAGATGAATCTCATCCTGTGGTTTATGTCTATTTGGTAATCCATGAATGATCTATCAATCAACCAATGTGAAACATACTCATGTAATCTGAAGACTGCCTGATGAACCCAATAGGCATCATTTGGTTAACCTTGAACATATAAATTTGCATAGTAACCTTAGGCTTTAACCTCTATTCCTATTGAATGTGTTTTTTTGTAACTGTGACAAATTTTGCTGTTTTTTAAATATAGTATCAGATCTTCACCCAAACATCTTCTTTCCAAACTTTTCACAATGGACAACTACATCTAACAACATGATTTGTAAGGATCTGCTTGTACTTATCCATCACTGTTTGGAATTGTGGAAGTCTTCCTGCAGGTATTCCAAGTTCAAGCCAATTTCATGAACTACAGTGAGTAGATAAATTAATGAAAATCTATGAAGAAAAATTTGTGGTTCAATTGGAATGTTTTTTTGCCACTTAACATGTCCCTTAATCCTCTTGGAGTATTGATATTGCTGGTAAGCAATTTCAAGGACTCAATTTCCTGTGTCAAGAACTCGGCTCTTTTGGAATGCATCTTGTTTTACATGATGCTTGGATTGAACAGGAAGAACAATTTTCCAAATCAACTGTGGGACATGATCAACTGTTGGATTAGTGATTGCTTTCAAAGTCTTTCTCATTAATGTGACTACATAACTCCATCATTGTTGTACATTGTTTTCTTGTTCCCTTTTTGTATTTCCATTTGTTGATATTACATCATGTATTCCAATATGGAATGTTATGTCACTGATCCTGTGATGTCATACATTGATTCAATTTTTGTTTCCTCTTTATAACCTGATCTCACAACAGTCTGATGTGTTCTTCTTTCCTCATCTGACTGCATCTTCTTACAATCTTACTATAAGATTTGTTTCATTGTTTTTGATCTTACTTATGCTAAGGTGGTTCTGTGTTTGGATTCAGTCCAATAGGTTATGAGCACCTAATCTTGATTTCATCTCAATTTCTTTTTGTTTTGATATGGCATCTACCTCTGCTGAACCATCTGTAAAAGGAAAGGAAGTCCAACCTTCACCATTGATCAGCTCAAAGGATCCATCTACCCCGCCAACCAACTTCAATGACCCATTCTCAGTTGGATCAAAATGGGGACCATTAGCTCTTCCTACATTGTCTGTTGTAGGTTTAATTCTTCTCAAGACCACAGGTGAAAATTCAAACTATGGTAACTAAGAACTAGCAATGTTGGGTTCCATTATTGGTGCACTGCTAGGATGGCTCACATTTTAAATACAGAGCTATGTGACACAGATCAACTGAACTTTAATTGGCTGCAACAGAACAACACAATTTGTCCAGTTCTTCTATGTTATGCTCATCCAAACAACTATGCCGTGATAAGACCTCAAATGGTTGGTGATGTGGCTATGTGGCAAGAGTTGTCTGATCCACATAAAAATGCTTCTATTCTATGGGATTGAAAAATTCTAGTGCTACCAAGCCTGGCTCGCAACGCAAAAAGAAGCGTGGAGCGTGACGCAGCGCTGCGCGCGGCGCTGACGCTTAACTACCCGGGTACCAAAAAAGTTGTGTGCAGTGTATTGCGCTTCAGATTTGGGGTCAAAGTTTGGTCCACTACGCTCCCAGCTACCGGACAGCCTTTTCTGCTATCTTCTTCCAGCTTCTTCCCAACCCTCCTCCAGCCTTCTCCACATCCTTCCACATCATATTAAATACATCAACATCACCACACCACCAAGAAATGTAATCAATCAGAATCAATTCTAATCAATTGGAATCAGTCGGTTGCCTTTTAGAAATTCAATTTCACATATGGAATATTGATCAGCAACTTTCCGTATAGCCTCACCAAACAAACAACAGCTTTCCGAACCACCAATCCGTTCGCTGGAGCCTTATCAATAGGTAGAGTCTTGCACAATCAAGTCAGATTTGAGTCAATTGATTGAGCAACTTCACAGACCACTTTTTGAGCCTTGTAAACTCTCATACATTATTCGATACAATCTTTGATTAGATTCTAATAAAAGAATTTTAACCATTACCATCTCAAGTTCTTGAAATGATCTTGCAAGAGCTGAACTTGAGAAATTAGATGCTCTTGAAATCCATTGACAAACCCCTTTCAATTCATTCTCAGTTTCATCCATCAAAATCACCGAGGTAGCAAATTTTGACCAAAGTCCTTTGATAAGTCGATCTCACCGGTGATCTATTCAACATAGTCATGGTTTGTAGAACTGGTGGAAGTAAGGTCCTGTAAGAGGGTGATAAGAGTAATAGGTAAGCCAATGTAACAAGAAGCCGATCATTGACAGAGGTTGGGAGCAGTCGGTTGCTTATTGATTTCATGTTTTTTCTACTTGTTTACAATTGATTTTTCACTCTTATTTTCTTAACACTCATTCAACCATAGCTTTTGTTTTATATTTCATTACGGTCTTTACAGCTGCTATCGTTCTTTCTGCATTTCTTTCAACTTACATATCAAGAAATTTTAAAAAAATGTTTTTTCCGCCTGCTGCGCTGCAAAACGGTGCGAAAGCACACTACGCTTTCAACTACCAACGTTTGGTAGAAGTCATGCACCACTTACATTAAATCTACTCATCTTGCCCCCCCAAAAAAGAAGTTACGCAGCTCGTTTTAGTGTTTTCTGCGCTGCAAAGCGCTGCGAGCCAGGCTTGGTGCTACAACATTTGATCTCATGCTAAATGGTTGAAGACAATATCAATACACATCTTTCTGACATCTAGAAAGCTTTGACACAATTAGGTCAACTTATTGCTAAACTCAAACTAAGCATGGATGACATAGTATGTGCTGTGATAGGTGCTTCTTTACCTTCTGATTGGAATTCTTCTATCAGCAGTTTGACGAGCAAGAAACCAGTTACTTCTGCTTCTCTTGTATTGGCTCTGCATCATGAAGCTATATGTTGTTGTGATCAAGCAAACACTTTGTCTCATGTTCTAGCCATTACTCCCCATTGGTACCTGTTCCTTGTTCAATCTCTTCATCCAATCAATCTTCTAGAAGAGGTAACAAGCGTCAAACAAATTCTCACCCAAACAATTCAGCTACTAGAAATTTGACGTGTTCTACTTGTCACATATGAGGACACAGTGGACAAGTGTGTAACAAACTAGCTAAGAAGTTCTTTAATCAAATGTTACAGAGTAATCCAAATCTTTCTGCACCAATCCCTTGTCCTGAAGCAAATTTGGTCCAACAAGAGTCTTCATCTCAACCTACACATTCCATTCCCTTGTCTGCTTGGAACTCTGCTCTGGAAATGATTTTTCATCAACCTGTAGGTTCTGATTTCTTGGTAATCACCAAGAATTTTGCTTCAAGTGCGGATATCAGCAAACAACTTTGGATATTGGATTCTGGATGTACTCAGCCATGCCTTCCATGCTTTACTTCTGAAGAACTACTCAAGTCTTTTTGTCCAACAACCCACATGTACTGTCTATTTGTGTGGCCAACAGTCTGATCCTGAAATTTTATCAACAACAAAGTGTACCTCTCCCTTGGCCTATGTCAATATCTGGCTTTGATGTGATTGAGGTGCCTGGCTTGCAACACAGTCTCTTATCCATCTCTCAACTTTGATCCCTTGGTTTTTCAACATCCTTCTCATGTGATCATATTGAAATCCTTGCTGAAAATGGTTTGGTTGTTGGAAAGGGTTTCTACTGTAAAGGCCTGCCAGTGCTACAACAAGATGTGAGCACTTGTACTATTCAATCTGATTGTTTATCTGTGGGACCCAATATGATACCACGTACAGTATTGCCATGCCCAATACTACTGGGAGGCTTGACCAGTAACATATTGTGGCTCAGATACTAATACTGAGGCTACAATACCCATCAAAAAACTACAATACAACTACAATACCAATACTGGTAGTGTAATTGTGACAGTGTTGGTCCAACCATACCTTAAGAATAGGCATGTCTTTATATTAAATCTAGCATGTAAGTTTGACAGATGTCACAATCAATATCAACTTTACTGCCAGGCACACAGACCACCAGTTGATTTTGAAAAATTCCTGATTTCATTCTTGTTGCAACTTCTGTAACTAACCTGGTGAGTTCATGACCAAATAATTGGAGATGCTCTAATGAAAAAAAGAAGAAGGAAGTTCAACAAACATGACTAAATTCTCAAAAGAAGTGATACACCTCAACAGATCTTAACAACAAGGCTACTCTACTGCTTACACTACCCATCTCTGATTTACAAGATTGTTTCAACTACTAGGGCAAGCTGGATAGAAGTGGCAAACAGACCATTACTAGAACTATCAATTTCTTTGGTTAGACCAACCCACAAATACCCACAAATATAGTGTTACTACCAGTTCATACATATCCTGCCCCAGACTTAAATCTGACAAAACAACAAAGATCCAACTGTGGTAAAGAGTTCACCTCCAATTCACTCTGATATTGAATCCCTAGTTCTATCCTTTCCTTACAGTCACAAGTCCCAGAGGAAATTAATTCAAAGTGTGTAGCTTTTTGAATTCCATTTGTTTAGATCTTTTGAAATCTTTGTGTTGAAATTCAACTTGAAGAATTGACAGTTTTTCAAAAGTGTATCAAAAGTGATGTTATAAGCTGTGATCCGTGGAATAGTGTAGTGTGTATTTGAAATTAAGTTTGTTTTGTACATTCTCATGATGAGGCTTTGAGGTATGTTTTTATAATGTTTAGTTTGTTGGACCATGGGTATTGATGATACAGATTAGGATAGAGTTCTATTCTAGCAGTTTATTTTACATGTTGGTCTTCTACATTCACAGTGATGACTTGAGATGATTTATGACCTTCCTAGGGGTGTGATTGATGACCCAGAGTGAGACACTTAGTTAAGGTATGTTATAAATGTATCCAAAGAAGCTAATAGTTGATAGCCAGGCAAGTCAGTCAATCCATTATCATCAATTAGAATCCCAAAAGAATCACTTCAAAAGTCTTTAACCAGGCATAGAAACCGATTCATTCCTTTGATCAAATCCTTTAACATCTTCTTCTTTATCTATGATTTCTTCTTGTTCACCATTTTCAAGATCATAATCAATTGGAATAAAAAAATCTTCATTTGTATCATCATCAGCTTCAATATTGAAAAAATCATCATCATCATCAATTGAGTTTTCACCTGGTTTAGATTGGTTTGACTTAATTGGAATTGTATGAGGTAAAAGTGGTTTGTCTAAATTAAAGATATCTATAAACCTATCTTGTTCATCTTTTCTACGTCTTTCTACATCTAATTCATCTTCCTATAATTATAAAAATAATCATACATGAATAACCATCTTGTTTCTAGAACAAAAGGTTATAAAAGAGACTTACATGATCAAATTCATCTTCTTTTTCATGATATTCTACATTTTCATCTAATTCATCAAACCCTGGTGCATATGAACTCCAATTCTCTGTAACACTTGTGACCCAAACATGAATTAATCCTAAATTAGACACAGATGCAACGATAGGTCGATTAGGGTGCCACTATATTTAAAAAACAAATCAAGTGAGAGAATGACAAATATCACAGTTTAGTCAACCTTAGACCTAATCTGAAATTCATTAGCGTCAAGAAAATGATCAAAGCCACATACATCAAAATCTTCGAGTGGATCTTTAGGTCCTTCTAAAATCTTGGTTAAACTACCAGAACTTCGATCCCAAATAAAAATTTGATGAGAATCTCTATGACCAGCACCACCAATCACATATTCAGAACCAAATTTACAACCTTGCCAAGGAGTACGGGCCACTGCATCTTGAAATTTATGATCTAAAATCAAATTTGGAACTTTTGAATCTGGAGTTGATTGGAGACTATAAACTCTTATGGCACGATCTGCTGAATTTAAAACAAGTGAAGTACCGTGGGTATCGAATTCCATGGATTTGATTGTGTTTTTGTTCGAAACTTGTTCGGTTTTGAGTAACTAATAATAATAAAAATCCGAAAGTTAATTGAATTATGATTAGTATGTGTAAATTTGAAATGGGTTGGGATTGTTTGAAGGATCTTATCGTTTACCAGTTTGGTTCTTGCATCGAATACATGAAGTGCTCCCTGTGAAGTTCCTACGTAGACCAAATCGCCACTAGGGTGAAAACGTACAACTGTCGCAGCTTGACTGAGAATATACCAATGAGCTCAAAGGATTGATAAACGAAAAAAGGATTTGTAGGTTGCTTACCGTTTTCGTCGTGCTCCATGCCTACCCCTACGCGGTGCATCATCTTGTACTTGGGTTACGTTAACGGGTTGGGATGGATCAGCGAGATTATCACCGGAATGAAAGTCTAGCTCCCAACGTCCCCCTTGACTTCTAAGGTCTACAAAGATGGCTTCTTCTTGACTTTGTAAAGTTACCACTATCACTTTACTAAAATAAACAAACGCGTAGAGATAAAAAGTAAACAGAACCTCGTAAGTGATTCTAACTCATATTGAAAACATGAAAAAGACGAAAATTACCTATTCTTAGGATGAAATTGAGCACTTGTAACCGGAGCATCAAATCGAATAGTGTCCCTCCTTTCACCCGTCAACAAATTCCAAACAATCACATTCCAATCCCTACTAGCACTCAACAAATATTTCGACTTTTTACTCCAAGATAATGAAGTGATCGGTTTAACATGACCTAAGAAAAATTTGATTGTTCGTTTACTTTCGAAATCTAAAATTGTTATACATCCATCCAATCTACCTATTGCTAAATATTGACCAGCAAATAATCCGTGTGGATTAAACTTTGTGATTACTGCTAATGAGTCTAAGGTTGTGTCTACTTTATCTGGAAAATCTTGGGCGAATGGATCTTGATCGAAGAGATAAAAAGATTGGTTAATTTTATGATCGATAATTGATAAAAGTAAGTAAATGAGGAAAGACTCACTTTGTAATTCGAGATTCATTTTGAGTAGAAGTGTGGTTTTTTCTAAGTTGAGTTTTTAAGTTGAATGTTTCCTTTTCTCATTCTTTTTATCTTGATGTTGGAGTTTTGTGTTGGTTAAAGTTGAACTTGACAATCTGATCGATCTTTCTCTTCAAAGGCGCATACATTGATGACCCGTCAGAGAGAGACCCGAGCTGAGAACTCGAGAACTCGGGTATCTTTCATCCCATTCTTCAGCAAAACTCAATGATGTCTCCTTTCCTTTTCTGGCACAATTCACATGTAATACTAAAAGATTTTTGCATCTCCGCTCTTACACACAGGAACTAAACCAAGGAGGATGGTCGCAGAGCAAAGGACTAGCTGTCTCAAGATAAAAAGATGAATTCATTTTTTTTTAAAAAAATCAAAACAAAACAAAACCACTCACTGATAAATTCTCATCTAACTGGGATAGATTGAAAAATATCAGAAACAGATGCTGCTAAATCTTGTTACAGAGTTCAATGGATAATAACCATCAAGGCAGTTTCTTTTATACATCACACTCAAATTGCTGATAAAGTCTTATGTAACTGGGATTGATTGAAAAAAATCAGAAACAGTGTACTGCTTAATCTCGTTACAGAGTTCAACAGATGATAACCGTTCTGGCAGCTTTATTGCTTTTTAGCTCACTCTAGAAATTGTTTTGGCAACATCTAGAAACTTGGTACAGTTTTCATCACTGTTCCCCACACCTAACAGCACCTTCCCTTCTCCCCCATGACTGCGGTTGATGCTGGGATAGGGGGCTGGGAAGGGGGATCAAATGCCTGCTCAGCAATGTGGATTCCAACAAGTTCAAAAAAAAGAAAAAGAAAAGTATATATTCATATATAAAATCCAAAAAAAGTGAACATCTCAACATCTAAAGACAGCAAAATCCTATGCTCTGACTAGATGGCTGCTCCTCCAAGGTAGACTAGTTTCTTTTCAATTTGATTTGTTTAGTTAGTGTTTCATGCAATACAGCCATTATGCACTTTAGAAAAATGATGTCTCCTTTCTACATACAGCCATTCCGGATCTGCTTTTTGCAAGTTCAACCGCTTGAAAAAGAAGATAGTTGAGCTGAAAACCTATTTCAAATTTCCAATGGCCTGTGGTTTTATAGCTTCATCCATTGATGATTAGAGCTGTTGGTGGGCAACACCAACTCTGATCAAAACTTAAAGTGTATGGGTTTTGGGATAATCTCAAAATTAGGGCCCGTTTGGACAACACAAAAAGATACTGTGGCCAAAATTCACACCCAAAAAGCTACAGCCAATTTGAGAATGATTGACCACTTTTTTGTAAAAAAGTCATTGCCAGTACAGTAGTCAAAACCAACCAAAAATGGTTTTTACAGGGTGTGTATTCTCTGTACTGTCTAAAGTAGCAGAGAAACAAACCTCAGTCAAAGAGAAACCCAGGTTTTGCAGCACAATGCACTTTGGCTGTACAAGTGGGTGCTGAAAATCTACAACACCCTCAGGGCCAAAAGATCACTACAGCATATGTGATGTGAGCCAGTCTGGCCCCAGGGGTGATGTATACTTCCAGTGTCTGCTTGTACATGTGGCCACGTTGTATCTCAGTCCAAACTCAACCAGATATTCAAAATCTGATGGGTGTTCAGTTCAAATATCTGACATCAGTATCTGATCCATAAGATCCTGATATTTGTCCATATCAAGATTCAGCCTTTTGGCTGTATCTCAAGCCTCTATCAGGACCCAGGAATGTGCCTGTAGATGTATGTGATGTAAAAAAGCCACTTCTATTAGGAGGTCTTTGGGCCATTTTCTGACTACACTTCACCTTTTTCAGACTTCCAGTTGCACAAACTGTTCACCTCAATAAGGGCTTTCAGCTACACAAAGTTTCAACATTGTAGCTCTATTAGTGTGGGAAATATGGCAGTGTAACGGTCAAAAGGGCAAAGGTGTGTATTTGACCTTGGAGGTTGAATTTTTTTGTGCATTTCCATTTTACGCCGCAGTGAGGCAAGTGTAGGGGCTTGTGTCAGGTTTATTTGATAGCCTTCACTCATGCACATCTTTTAAGGTGCTTTGAACCTTGAAGCAAGTGCTAATGTGTTGTGTAGAGCCCAAAAACTAAAAATCAGCTCAAGTCACATACATCTACAGGCACATTCCTGGGTCTTCGTCTACCTCTATGTGCCCCTCCTCCATAAATCACTTTTGACTTTTCTCAATCTATCTTTTACCACACACACCCATTTAAGATCACCTTTTTCAATTCTCACTACTCACTGCTTGGCTCAGATATTCCCATGATCTCATCCATTCCATTTTTGTACATGGTGTGATCTTTCAAAACTGTTACAATTTCTTTTACTTTCTATCTTTTTTTTTGTTTATTTTGGTTGGTTATTTCATTTGAGGAGATTTTTTGTAGATATTAATTTTTCTATCAGGTTATTTAAAATGTTTGTGATTGGTTTTTTGTTTTCTTCCTTTGTCTTCTCATGTCCTTTAGTTCATTATTTTCAGGGCTTTTGTACACATCAGAATTGTGTTGTTACCTCTAACCACCCAGTAAGTTGTTCTTTTTATCATACAAGCAAGATTGTCCCCTTGGACTTATGGCTTTGGATTCTCACCCAAACACTTCCTCTTGGTATTCCTCAATTCTCATTTCTAATATGATATTGCTAGAGGCTTCAATAAATTGATGTTGCTGCAAGTCAGCCAAGGTTCCTCAAATTCAAAAAGGTTTGAACAACAAGATGAAGGAAAGATCAGAATCCACCTTTTCAACCTTGGTTACTTCAGTGATATATGTACAGTCCCCTCCAAGTGGTTTACGTAATCATTCAAGCTCTGCAGCGGCGGGGCCGGGGCCTGTTGCAAACCCGATGATTACGAATCCTAGGCGTGGGGACGTGTACAGTTGACTCTGAAATAACCCATATCCCTAATATGCCATACTCTACCCTAACCCATAGTTTTTTGCCTCCATATTTTTTATGGGCGGGGAAAACGGGCCAAAAACCCATAACTCTATCATACCCCATAACCCATAGCTTTCTTTTGAAAATCAAAGCCAAAAACCCATAGTCTCCCACAAAAAAATCAAATATTGCACCGTAGAGTCTCAATCCATCTGCTCAGCAAGATCTTGAGCAGGATATTCAAGAACTCATTTCATTGAATTGTTCATAAAGAAATATGATGCCCATTACAGAACTCCTAAATCCTACCAATGAGCCCATGAGTGGCCTTGAGACCTGGAGTCCAGAGGAAATCTTTGAAGCAATTGAACAACATCACACCTCTGTCTGCTCCAGAACACGCTGAGATCAAGGTACCTCCTTGCCCAGCATACTCTGACTTCCAGTCAGCCAATGTAATGACAAATTACCTCAGGCACAAAAATTCTGAGGAAGCAAAATCTTGTGGGAGGGCTCTTTGGCAAGCTCTGCGTACATTCAGTGCAGCTCGTTCCAAAATGCTAGTCCAGCACGACCTATTGTCTTTCCTTGCTCGCTCTTCTTGAAACCTATGCAATGAAATCACATACTCTCTTGCCTTCTGCAAACAACTCTCTGCAATAACCCATATATTAGTGGTTATGGGTTATTGCAGAGAATCCTGATAGCCCATACTCCAAGATAACCCATACTTTTTGGGTTCCATAAAAGGGTATGGGTTATTTCAGAGTCAACTGTACATACATTTGGTGTATTTTCATCTACAGCCCTTACCCCCATACACATCCTTCTATTCTCTGATATCTAACCGAACCACATCCCACTTGGCTTGGCAAGCAAGCCTGTAAGACAGGCACTTATAATTTATCCACCCAATTTGCCATATGAGCAAGGAACTTCTGGCTGTGGAGTTTTTCAACCTACCATATACCTTCTTATGTACCAACCAAACAAAAAGTTTTTGAACCAAAGAAATCTCCTATGAGCCTGTTCAGAGTTAACCTACACATAATTCTTCTTTGGAATCTTTTGCTTGGTTTGAGGAAAACCACTACAGAAAGACTGAAAAAATGGTATTACATCTCATATCTCTGATTGCCCTGAATGAACATTTGGCAAGTTGGACAGCTTGCTTGGAGAGATTCTTTTTGCAAACTTCAGCCTTCCATAATTAGGGGTTCTCAAAGTAGGCCCAGTTTCAAAAAACCCAGTTGACCCAGTGGAATTTTTGGCTGGGAGCTGTCAACAAATGTCAACTTGATACACAAAGTTACTGCCAAAAAGTTCAACTGGGTTAACTGGGTTTTTGAAAACCGGGTCAGGTTTGAGAGCCACTATTGTTCTGCAATTCTTGCATCTGATATGAAGTCAAATCCATTTATTTACTGTTTTGTAAATCATACAAGTTTTTTTCAAAATTATAGGGCCTCAACTTCCCTCAGGTTCAAGGCTTTAATTCACCTATTTAAAGGTATGCAAAAACCCAAACACAAATGGTATCAATCATATGTACCAAAAATTGGAATCTTATATATTTTATAAAAAAAAGCTAAACAGAAAGAGATAAAAGTATAGATATATATGATAGAATGTAAGCAAAAGAAAAGAATAGTAAAGAGGATCAAACCAAACAAAAAGTTATCAAAAAAGATTGGGTCTGGGATGAATTGATTGTAGTTTAGATTAAGGGAAAGAAAATGATTGGATTAAGACAATAACCAAAACCAAGACCAAAACAGAGGAAAGAACTCAAATAAAGAGCTCAAATCAAAAAGAAATCAAATCAAATAGAACTCAAACCAAATCAAATCAAAAAGAAATCAAAATTATTATTATGCATACTTGAAAAGAAAAAAATTAAAAAAAGATAAATTGTCCAAAAAGAAATCTGATAAATTTATATTTTGAATTTTTTTTTTCAAGACCAAACAAAAAAAAAACAAAAAAAAACAATTGATCTGAAAAGGAAAACAAAAAGATATTAATAGTGTTTTTTTTTCTTATTTTTTTTTTCTCTTCTACATTTCTTCTATATTTTGAAAAAAATCTTTTCTTTTACTTTAAATAACCAAGATAATCAAAACAAATCAAATCCAACTTAACCAAGAAAAACACTCACTCTCACTCTCTCTCTCACAGACTTTATCTAAATAAGACAATCTACAAAACATTCTGAAAGAAAGAAAAAAACAATTCAATCCAATTCAATCCAATCCAATCCAATCCAAATTCCTTCCTTTTTTCTTTTTACCTTTCCAAAAAAACAAATACATAAATCAATCCATCAATCCATCCCATACTTTTTGTCTAATCTTTAAATTTATTTTAATCCTCAAATCCAACAAATTTAAATTTAAATTTCAATCCAATCCAAATTCAAAATAATTTTGCAAAAGAAAAAACAGAAAAAAAAAACATCAAACATATATATATATACTTTTTCATCATCACTCATAATTCACCTGAAATCCCCACACAAAACTCATAAGCAGGGTTCATGATTCCCAAAGCCGTTTGTTGAGGATCGAGTTGAAGATTCTGTTGTTGTGGTGGTGGTTGTGAATCCAATCTTAAATGCTGCTGTTGTTGTTGTTGTTGGGGATCCAGTTGAATATTCTGTTGATGTTGTGGTTGTTGTGGATCAAGTGGTGGTAATGATAAATTCGAATCATGTTCATAACTTAATTCTCCTTTCGATTTCAATTCATAAAAACATCCTTGTCCAGCATCTGATTTATGATGTCTTTGTAATGCCTATACAACATATTTCAAAACACGAAAATCATCATTAATCTTAACCCATCAAAACAAAAATCGATAAAGAAAACACTTACATCTAATCTGATAAACGCTTTACCACAAACCTTACAATTATAATCTTTGATACCTAAATGTAATTTATAATGTCTTTTTTGATCATGTGCTCTTGCAAAACTTGATGTACCTAGACCCAAAAAAAACCCAAAAAAAGCTTAGAATTGTAGTGTTCAGAAAAAAAATCTTCACTTTCATTCACTTACAACCTGGAAATTCACATGCAAATGGTTTCTCTCCTTTATGAGCTCTCTGATGACCTGTAAAAGAAAAGAACCCAAGCCCCAACAAGATCAAACACCAAACACACACACACAATGAAATGAGATGAAATCAACCGACCTCTAAGATTATACCTTCTAGTAAAACTTTCACCACACATCTCACAAAGATATCTAGCTTCGTTTCCTTCTTTTCTTCTTTTGTTTGCCGCAGCTTTAGTAGCTGGTGTAGTTCTAGAACTGATCGTAAACGATTTCGAAATCGCCGAAGAGGATCCAATAGACGAATGTGAATAAGATCTTGATCTGGTGATGATATCTTCCCATTCTTCTAGTTTGGGTGAAACTGATGGTTCGGGTTGATTTGGATTCGGAGGATGAGGATTGAAGTGATGGATGATTTGCGATTCGGATCTACCTCTTCTATGATGTTGTTGTTGCATTAAACGTGAATTGCTTGCAGATGGATTAGGATTCCCATTCGTGTTCAAGTATCCAGTTTCATAACTATTTCTAGTATCTATTCCTAAATTCAATTCGTCTAATCTAGGTGGTGGTGGTGCTGTAAGATTAGGAGCTTGTGATAATAAGTTGAATTGAGAAGAAGGAAAAGGTTGTGAAGAGTTTGATAAGAAATCATGATTCGTTCCTTGGTTTTCATTTTCAGTTTGAGAGGTATCATTGGTTTGATCCGTATTGTTGGTGTGTTGTTGAAACGGATTGAAACTCAAATTTAATAATGAGAATAGATTGGGATTCGGATTCGGATTGGTGGTTTGGATTGAATTGGTTTGAGATTCGGATTTAGATCTTTGTCTGCCTTTATTAGTTTTAGTGGTAAGAAAATTTGAAGATTGATCAAGTTGTAAGAAATCTAAATTAGGAATCTGTCCAAATGTTGGTTGAAAGTTTGTTGTTGATTGATTTTGAGATGATTGATTTAAATTGTTTTGATGATTAGATTGAGGTTGAGAGAGTTGATCTAAAAATCTTTGAAAATTCGGTACATCAACTGTTTGATTAGGTTTAGCTGTCAAGGGTGTAGCTGAAGTCAAAGAGATAGTTGGACCATTAGACATTGCAGGATGATTCATATCAAGTCGAAGGTGTGGTGAAGGAGTTGGATTAATGGATGCTATCAAGGATTCATTGATATTGATAGATGGAATGTTGGAAGAAGATGCCGGAGATGTATCCATTAATAAATCATTAGATCCGAAAGCTGAGATAGCTGGAGATGGACAACCTGAAGAATTCAGGAAAGGTGAAGGTAAATTATTGATTTGTGAAGGACTGATCGGTCGATTGTTGAGATCTGGGATTGAGAAAGAGGTACGAGATGCTAATGAAGGTGATGAGGATGAGCAAATCGATCGATCGGTAGATGCATTAGATTGTGAAACATCAGCATGTTGAGGATGAGCTGAAGTTTGATTGTCCAAATAAGCAGTGATACTAGAGACTGAAGTCTTGGGATGTAAACCACCGGTAGCCAACATGGTATCTTGACGAAGTTCAGGTAAAGCATGTTCTCTAGCCCAAGTGAGGGTATCATAACGTTGTGGGTATTGATTTGAACTGGTTGGTTGATTGTTCTGTTGTTGCTGTTGTAAAAAGTGATTCAAGGTTTGATTTGAAGATGAATGTAAATCCAATGAAGCAAATTCACCCTCCATCTGAAGTGGTTCATCCACATAAGCTGAATCATGATGATGATTGTGATTAGGTACACTTGCAAAAGAAAGGGCAGGAGAAGATACAATAGGTAGCTGATGATGATGAATCGACTGAGATGAAGTTTGAGAAGTGATTGATTGATTACGTTGATGACGAAAGTGGTGCGATTGATGATCTGAAGAATGCTGACGTTGATGTTGTTGATCTGGTTGATATTGTTGCTGTTGTTGCAAACCGGATTGATATTGTTGTTGTAGTTGTTGATGTTGTTGTTGTTGATGGTGTTGTTGTTGTTGTTGTTGCTGCTGCTGCTGCTGCTGTGGATGATGTGATTGATTGAATGTCATGATTTCAAGAGTGATATTAAATCCTTTGTTTGATTTGAATCGTTAAGAGTCAAAGTGGCAAATCTCAATAAGATGAATCGATTTGAAGTTGACAAGATTTAAAACTGTTAAATGAACTGAATGTGTGATTAAATCGAATGATGAATGATTCGATGAGGAATTCGATGATGGACTTTTATCGGGGATAAGCAGATGAACTCGGTTGTGTATTGGTTTAACTGAATGATATTAGAATTAGAATCAGATTAGGTTCAAGACAATGAATGATTCCGAAATCGAATGTGTGATTGAAAGTTTGATAAGATGAAAATCAAAAGAAACAAATTAGTAAACAAGTTTGAAGTCATCAGGTTTATGTAAATCAGAAATGGTTTAAGAAATTGAAAACCTTTTGAAATTTGATTTGATTTGAAATGATAAGTTTTAAATTTTGATTGATTGAATCAACCAGATATCTAAAACAAGTTTGATCGGAAAGAGGGATGATGATCACCTGATGATGATGATGATGACGATGATGCTGACAGAATTAAATGTGATGAAGAAAGTACAATCGAGAGAGAGGGTGTTAGCCAAAAGCTGCGGTAAAGCTTTTGAGTTTAATAGATTGTTTGAAGGGTTAACAGACAAACACAAAGGGTTCTCAAGAAATCAAGAAAGAAAGAAAGAAGGAAGTAAAGAAAGAAAGGATGATGGTAATGGTGATGGTAAACAGAGAAATCAAAGGAACTCATTAATGTTGACTTACAATGATATTTGGATTACATGAGTTCCTCGTATTTTTGTTCCATCAAATCCATCTTAAATTGTTTTTCTTATATTTTCTTTCTTTCTTTCTTTCTTTCTTTCTTGGTTTCTTTTATTTCATAAATTTATGATTTCTTCTGTAAATTGATTTAAGTAAAACTCAACTCGCTACCTCGTGGGACTTGTCTTTTTCTTCTTGAGTCTTGCTTAAAAGAGAGAACCAGTTTCGAATCGGTCCTATTCGGTCGGATTTAAATCTGTAAATTAAAAAATTAAAAATCTAAATCTAAAAATACAATCAACCATTCGATGATCGATCTTGAGCAAATCCATTGAGCCTTTAATTAATCAATAACAATTCCGCAATCTCATTTAAATCCTTTTATCAAAACCTAACTCCAAGCTCAGTCACTCAAAAACTTCAATCCTGTTGAGATTACAGGCGATACATGCCTAGTACAAAATCCTGTACAGCTAGTAGCATATCTTTGTACCGGGGTTAGGTTAGATACTTTATATAGTTCGGCTTCTCCCGGTCCATTCCTCTCTTCACTATCGAAGATTGGATGTGTTCACGGACCGGGTGAAGCGACGAGCGCTGACCTTTAGCTCTAACAGGTTAGTTCCCTATATGAAATTACTATCGAAGATTGGATGTGTTCACGGACCGGGTGAAGCGACGAGCGCTGACCTTTAGCTCTAACAGGTTTTGAGTCCCAGTTGTGATACCAGCTGTGTGTGTTAACGGTTGTTGTTAAAATTTTTTCAACGTTCGATGATAACAAGAGGATCATCAAAGAAAGCTCCTGCCGATAACACCGACACCCAAGATAGTCCAGTGAACAAGCCCGATCGAGATACCGAATCTGACGAAGACGTAGATTTAGATTTATTACCAAAAGATAAACATCAAGTTATAAAAACAGAAGATTTAGATAAAAGCTCAGTTTTAGTTAAAGTTTCATCATCGACCATTATGTCTAGAGAAAAACCACCTCATCAAGAGGATGCTGATCATTATACATCAATGAATTTCATGATCAAGATGCCTCAACTAGTTAGCAACAGTATTGTTCCTTTAAATGAGACTGGATCAAACTACTTGGCTTGGAAGAATGATCTCTCGGTTATTATTGATGCCCTTACCAAGATCGATGATTATTTAGATGAAGAGAGAAAAAACATCCCTGGTGATCATCGAATCGTTATGCTGATTCGACTCTCTGTCTGTTCCGAGCTTCGTATTCAAATCGATACCAAGAAATCGGCCTTTGAAGTTTTCAATGTTTTAAAATCAATGTTCCATTTTCCTAGTCGTTCTACTCATATCAATTTATGGAAAGATATCCTTCAAGCTCAGATTGATTCACCATCCGAAGTACCTAATCACATCAACAAGATCAAATCCAAGATTGAAGAGTTGCAACGTACGGGTTTTGAATTCACCAAAGACTCCTTTCTCAGCGTGGCTATGCAACTTGGCCTCTCCGCAAGCTTTGCGGGTGTTAGTTCGATCCTCGATAATCGACTACGAAACGATCCTGATAAACGCATCACGGCCCGAGAAACTGAAGAAGCAATCCGAGCCGAAACTCATCGCTTGACCTCTTCAGCTCCTGACCTTTTGCCCAACTTGGCTGCACTGAACATCGGCAATCGACCCTCTCAATACGCGCCTCGGTCGACGAGGCCCCAACCTAGTGCTCAACGATTTGAGGATTATCGCAAGATGCCACCTTCCACGCCTCCTCATAAACCTTACTTTGAAATCAACGAGAATACACCCGCTCATCTCAGGAATTGTTTTTCTTGCGGCAAATCTGGTCATTGGGCTAACACAGTCAAGTGCCCAAATTATCGTGGAACGGCATCATCCTCCTCTCAATCCCAGTCTAGAAGCAGCTTCAGAGCTAACTTGGCTGAAGTCCCTTACGATAACTCGACTCCCTTGCCTCATGCTGTTTACAACAGTGAGGGATCGCTGACTGAGGATTGGAACCAGAGCGAGGCTATCTTAGACACTGGGGCCACCCACCACGTTACAAACGAGGTGGGTCATCTTCTAAATTTCACCAAGCTTCAAAAACCAATCCCACTTCATGTAGCAACTGAATCAGATGGAAACTTTCTTACAGGAATCGGGTCATTAACACTTACGAGCGATTCGGGTGTACCTGTGATAATCAAGAATGTGTTCTACTGTGAGAAGGCTAAGGGTACTCTTATCTCACTTGCTGCTTTGGTGGAGGATGGTCATACTTTCACCTTTTGTGATAGAGTTTTGTCGTTACATCTTAAATCTCATACTTTGACTTCGAAATACATGAATCGCCGTTGGGTTTTATCAATTATCACTCAAACTAAACCATCGCCACTTCCACCACCACCAAAAAACCCTCTTCGCCTTGTTTCTGCATGCCGGGTTTACACACCTGAGGAGAGCAACGAATCGTTGAAATGGCACAAACGATTTGGTCATGTAGGAATGAGGGTGATCAAGAGGTTGCTAAGTAAAGAAATGTCGACAGGACTTCCCGAGCAGATTCCGAATGCACCATTCGTCTGTTCTGACTGTCTACTTAGCAAAAGCCTGCGAACTCAAACGCTGGGTCCGTCGGGAAGACCACGGCCCTTACCGCTTGAGTTGATTGTTTCAGATATTGCTGGCCCTTTTGATAACGAATTGTTTGGTAACAAGTTCATGATTACTTTCAGAGACGTAGCAACGACTTACACTGAAGTAGTAGTTTTGAAATCTCGTGATCAAGCACCGAAGGTTTTCCAAGAATTTGTACTCAAGATGGAACGCAAGACTTCCCTCAAAGTCAAGGCTCTGCGCACGGATGGGGCGGGTGAATTTACGTCGGCATCATTTTTGAATTGGTTGAAGGCTCAAGGGATCTCGAAGGACAAGACCATGCCATATGAACATAATCAGAACGGTTGTGCTGAACGCTCCATCAGAACGATTGGCGACATGGGCCGGACGATGCTCACCGCTTCGAAACTTCCTCCTCATTTCTGGTTTCTAGCTTACCAAACTGCTGGGTATCTCCACAACTGTTTACCGAATGTGAACACCGGCAACAAGACCCCTTTTGAACTTCTTTTCAAATTCAAACCACACCTCGAGGGCCTGCGAGATTTTGGAGAAGAAGCCTATGTCCATATCCCGTCGGAGAGAAGAGGAAAACTGGATCATCGTGCGCAGAAATGTATCTTTGTTGGTTATATCTCTGGCAGTAAAGGTTGGAGGTTTTACAATTTTGAAACCAAGAAATTTGTAGAATCGTCAATGGCAGTATTCGTAGATGATAAACGGCCACTTTTAGCTGAACCAATCGAGAAGACCGCGGATAAGGGTGCTTTGAAGCATATCTTGAACGCCCTGCAACTTGGAAGTTTTGATGCTGAGGAGGCTTTGATGCAGCAAGATGCTATGGTGGCGATGATTGAAAAGGTGCTTAAGGAAGGTGATCCCACGGTGCCGAAGAGTTATGCTGAAGCAATGAAGAGACCGGATGCAGCTAAGTGGCGTGAAGCTTGTGAGAAGGAGATGAATCAGATGAAGGAGATGGGGGTATGGGAGGTTTGTGACCTACCACCAGGCAGACGAGCAACTGATGCTAAGTGGGTTTTTGACATCAAGAGGGATGGAACTTACAAGGCTAGGTATGTTGCTAGGGGTTTCACTCAACTCCCAGGGATCGACTTCAACGATACATTTGCGCCCACTGCAACCTTCGCCGCTCTACGAATGATCTTAATCATCGCAGCTTATTTTCAATGGCCGGCTTTAGCCTTTGATGTAATTTCGGCTTTTCTTCATAGCTACATGGATGAAGATGTATGGGTTCGGCAACCAGCTGGATTTTCTTTTGGCGATTCATCTCAAGTTTTGCACCTTCTGAAGGCCTTATATGGAACCAAACAGGCTGGACGATGTTGGTGGAAGTTCATTGCTGACAAGCTTGCTCGGATGGGTTTTGTTCCTAGTCAATTTGATTCTAGTTTTTACATCCTACGCCGTGGAAGCGACACATGTCTGATCTGGCTTCATGTTGACGATGGTGCGGTAACTGGAAGTAGTACTCGTTTATTGGAAGAAATTGCTGAAGAACTCAAGTCTGAAATCAAGTTGAAATGGGAGACAAGCTTAGATTGTATTGTAGGAATTGACATCAATCGGCCATCACCTGAAGTTTTTGAACTATCACAACCGAAGCTCACAAACCGTATCTTACAAGACAACA